CAGTGGTTTAATTACAGTTTTTAAAGCTAGAATTTGAGTTGGGTTGAGGTTTTCTTTTTTCCCAGTTACCTAGACTGTTTTGGTTTTTTTGTTTGTTTTCAGATTTTAGATATTCAGCTAGATCTTGTAAAATTTTTATTGCTTAATACAAAATATAGTTATTAAAATATAAGATGAATTAAGTGTAGTTTTCCTGAATATAATATCACATTTTAATTTTAAAATTATGATGATAGGGTAAGTTAGCCAAATAATTTTGTTTTGCTTTGCTATTTTGGTAAGTTGATAAAGAGTTTACTGAAGATGATTTCTGCTATTAGCATAAACTTTTCAAACATTGGAGGTTGAATCTTAACATTAAAGTGTTTAATGGTATTTAACATATTAAAACTTAAAGAGAACTGCTAGTAAAACCATCTTGACAAAAGTGCTAATAGAAGCCTAAACATAATGAAATATTGGTAATAATTTCTGTGTTAGAGCATGTTCAGAAATATTGATAAGCTTCTCTGTCTTCTTTCCAAATTAGATAAAGGTATTCCCAAAATGTTTGAGAGTTTGAGTTTTCATAGGGTTTGGAGTTTATGAGGCTTCTAGAATATTTCTTTCAAAATAGTTTATGTAATTTTAAACTGCTGGATAAGGAAAAGTGATTTCATCCTGTATTGTTCAGTAGTAACCAGTGGCCACAATGACTATTTAAATTAAAATTTAAAATTCAGTTCCTCAGTTGTACTATCCACATCTCAAGTGTTCAATATTCAGATGTAACGAGTAGCTACTGTATTGTACAGACATAGATACATTACCATCTTTTCCGATATGGAACATTTCCATCATCACTGAAACTTACTGAACAGTGCTTGTCTAAAGCTTTTCTCTCATTTTCTGTGGAAGGGTATCTTCATTAACATATATAGCTAGCTATTCTCACATTCTAAAGAAAATTCCCAATTCGTCTCCTCATCACTTAAAACATTTAAAGATACCAGCTACCACATAGGTTTTGGATCTATTTTTAAACACATAGGAAATGGCATCATCTTTTAACTCATCACTGGATGTGACAAGATAAAAAGAAAAGCTGTCTTTTTAGCAAAAACTTTTACTCTTCTGCATCTTTTCTGAGTAACTATAAGAAAATGATGCCTTTCTGCCTTGCAGTGATGTTTCTAATATTAATTACAAGAAGAATGCTCTGAAGTAAGAACACAGTACACAACTCCAGCCTCTAAAGCTAAATAGAGAGTGGACTGCCCTGAATTGGGATGATCCATATGACTACACTGAATCATCCAAATAGGAAAAAAGGAATGTTTTTGCTAACTTGACTCCAATTGGTTGTTTGAGCTAAGACATTCCAAGGATAATTGTGTAATCATTGTATACGGTAATGTAAATATTCATGCTTGAAGTACTCTGTCACTCTTAAAAAGTAAATTTGGGTTGATGGAATGAGGACAATAAAGATATTACTGTGAATTTATTCTTTTCAACCAGTCTTAACAATGAAAGGGAGGTATCTTGTTAGATTTTCAGTTACATTCAATTCTGGGTAAATGTTATGGTTCTATTCACTCAAGACTCAAAAATTTCTCTCACTGCCACTCTTAGGGGAGAAAATATGTAAGTACCTGAGAAAGAAAGACATTCCCATGATAGCACCTTTGAGCCTGACATTCTGCAATGGAGAATAGAATTTTAAAGAAAATTTCTAATGACCACATTTCAATAGAATATCTAAAATTACTTAATTATGCTTTTCCTATTTCTCTTTAAAATAGTGTGACTCCTGGTAGATTTTTAATCAGCTTAAGCACACATTTCTTTTCCTTAATTTTAAGATTGTTTGTTGTGATACAAAATCATACTTAAGATTTAGATGTGTGATTAGATCATTAACTAGAAAAAAACTGGCATCTGTGTGCAGGTGATCAGATGACATAAGCAGTCTGGTTTTCATTTGCGGCCAGTACTGATTGTAACTGAAAGAGACTTGCTCTTTTTGTGGAATTGGCTGACTATTTCCCTACATCTGGAGTTAATAAAGTCTTTAAGACCACATCAGTTGTGCTTTGCCGCAAGAACTCTTTGATCTGAAAAATCGAAACTGGCACAACTGCTGCTTCATAACACTGCATCTATGTTTCTGCAAGCCACAGTTAGGATACCAAAAGTAAAGTTTTTTGGCCTGTGTTAGAAATGCTGTTAGATGGGCCTCTTTTAGAACCATGATTTTCAAAACATCTTTATTATGATAAAAATTTTGAATTTATGTTAGTAAATAAATGATAAACTTATAGTATTTTTAGAGTCTTTACCATTTTCACTTATAAGATCTATTCTTTAAAAGCCCGTTTATTTTTTGGAAGTCTGTAAAAACTAACATTAAAAACTTAGCAACTGAACAACAATAACAACATTAAAAAAAACTTTGACTCCAAAATAAGCCCTGTGTTCCCAATACAGCTTCAAAAGTTTTATGTATGAGTAGGCAAGCCTCTTCTGCTTTGTGTGGTTTATCTTGGTTTTTTTGCTTTCTATGATAGTTATCAATAACTATTATCTCATCAGCATATTCTCCTTTATTTACAGCGGTTTGTAAATCAGTAAAGTCAGGCTTGTCCCTTTCTTTGCTTTTACAATTGCATACATTTAAGATTTTTTGAAGTGTAAGTTTACCTTTATGGAATACAGTGAATTAAATAAGAATAAAGATAAATATATATTGAGAGATTATATGTAAATTTAAACTGACAAACTGAATAGATTTTTTTTGTGAAATGACACATCAAAGCTGGAGTTTTTCATAGTTATCATTATGAGAGTTACGTACTGTTTTAACCTATAGCCTAGATATAATTAGAGAATTTTATATTTTATACTTTCATGTCAGTGATGATATACATAGTAGATAAGCATTTATGAAAAAGCATGTTCTAACTCTGTCTTCTAAATTTTACTCTCATTTGTATTTTCTTTCTATATCTGTGGATATACTCTTATTTTTGTTATTTGTGGTTTCAACCTAGTTTGGGAAAATCTATATATAAAGGAGACAGAGGACATCTAGCTAAAGCTAAATTTAGATGCTGAAACTGGATTAAAAGAAAAAAGTACAAAATTCCTTTCCTGATAACGTGCCTGTCAGCATACCTCATACGTTGCAAATACATTTGTATATACCCAATTCTTTCTTCCTAACTCTGTCTTTACATAATAGCTCTTTATGTAGTAGCACATCAAGCATAGAAAAATGTTTAATATGTGTAATGTATAATCTCCTATCTGGAATCCTTTATGGGTAATTCTTAGGAATATATCTTATCCCCAACCTCTCAGGTACCACAGATGTGTATTTTTCCCTCTGGGATATAAGAAGGAAACTGACCTGAATGCCAGTTCATTAAAAAGACACACCTGCTCTAGTAATATCATTGGTAGCAAGAAGACTAAAAAAGAACTTTTCAACCTTTTATTTAGGGTGAACTGTACATGTAAGGATGACATTGGACAAAAACTGTAAGAAATAGTAGTAGTAGTTCAGTACTGAACAGGGACAATATGTAGCAGTACAACTACACGTCTAAGAATTAGAAAGATGATATTATTAGCTAATACTCAGCAAGTGCTTACCTGCTAAACATTTTAGAGCTTTCTGAGTCCCTTAGCTATGTTGAGGAATCCAGGCAGGGTTTTTTGTTTGTTTGCTTGTTTTTTGGCCATACTGTGTGGTTTGTGGGAGTTTAATTCCCTGACCAGAGATCAGTTCTGGGCCTTCAGCAGTGAGTATGCAGAGTACTAACCACTGGACTGCCAGGGATTCACTGAACGTTTTGTTTGTCTTATCTCATCTGTCTTCCCATCAACCACAATGCAGGTACTGTTAGCACTGTCTTACAAATGAGGAAATGGAGTTTCAGATGGTTAGATAATTTGTCTCAGAGAAAGAATAAATGAATACAAATGAAATAAATGTGTATGCTTTTTTCACACATGCTCCCGTAATTTTACTGAGCTAATTGCTTTTTCCACATTAAGTGAACACTTTGAATTTTTATTTGGGAGTAAAAATTAAATAGATGTACCCTTATCAGACTAAACAAAAGAAATGTTTCATCCACTGCTCAAAATAGGACTCCTTTCCATTCTGGATTTCTGTTTCACTTTTACAGATCATCATCACCTTAAGTGTTATATATTTGTTCTTCTTGGTTTCAGTAGTCATCATAAGAATGGTTTGATCATGTTTTGATCATTATAGTTATTTGGCTGCCCATTTAGTTTTTCAGAGAAATGACAATGTTGGCCGTTTGCCAATTCAAAATGTTTATACTTTGCTTATCTGAAGCAGAGGTTTACTAAAGGAAATTAATACTGCTCTGACAGATTAAATGAGATTTTTCTGAAACCTGTGCCAGAGTTGAAAATTTACTAGAAATTAAAGAATTAAAACTGCTCAGACTTCAGCCAACCCTACTAAGTTCAGGAAGTTTTTGAACAATTATGTTGTGCTTTTCACAGTTAACTTTTAATAATAGTAAAGAATAACAACATTTAATCCAGCTCATTTTGATTTTGATAAATTTTGTAGCACTGGAAAGAATGAATTTTATGAACCCAAATTTTATTTCATGCTATATTCAGAAGACTTTTGTTTCCACTAGGTTTGAATCATGAGCCTATATGAATTTATGTTTTGTGAGCAGAGTCAACATTTGAGACTTTATTCAGTCTCTGGTATAATTGTTACACAAAGATTCATTCCAGGGATATTTAGAATGGCTTTTTCCTCTAGTGACCATCTAAAAACAAACATGTAGATAGTATCCAAGTTAGACACTATTTATGAGGATTCAAGCAGTTTCTTTGGATTTGTTGTAGGTCTTTTTAGATATTAGATAGGCCTTTTTAGGCCTTTCAGGAAGTGTAGCACTCATTTTACATAAGTGGTGTGAGAGTAATTTACATTTTAATTAAATTTCCTGTTTAATTTTAAGGTATATGCACCATCCCCAAATTCAGATGACTTCAACCGTGAATCTCCTAGTTATCCATCTCCCAAGCCACCAACCAGTATGTTTGCTAGCACTTTCTTTATGCAAGGTAAGTATTACCAACTAGTTGTCAAATACTACAATGGCTATCTATTATATATTAGCTAATATTTTTAAGTTGTGAAGAAAGAGAATATCTATATAGAAGTTCAGATATTTTTATATAGATATGTTTGGCTGAAGCAAGTTAAAATTTAATTTTTAAGTTTTCTATTGCTAATTATTGATGAGTGCAATGTAGTTGAATTATTCAGCAAAGCATTGGCATACTCATCTAGTATTAATTGAATTTAAAAAGGACTTCAGTTGAAAAAAGTGAGTAGAGCTGCTCTTTCTCATTTTAGGATTTTTAAATGTATAAAAGCTATTAACAATTTTAGTTTCTTGTTTAAATGACAGATTCATAACACTCATAGAATTATCAGTGCAAATAAAAAGGTGAATATCATAGAACAGAATTAAGACTTTTAAGAGAGAAAAAGTGTTGTACTTCTTTTAGTTCATGTCTAGCAAATCATTTTTATTAGATCTTCTGTGATTTTAGACTATAGAGAGCAATAAATTGCTACATAAATGGTTCCTTGACTTTATATTGGTGAGTGAAGTCATTGCCAGCACACTTCATTTGAAGGCTGACTATAATAGTCATTATCAATTACTTAGGTTCTCTATAAGAGAAACTTCTTTATTCTAGTTTGAGAATGTTTGATAAAATATACATTGCTTGTTATAGATGAAGAACTTCTTTGTATATTTATGGATATACCATTTAAGCAAATGTTTAATCTAGCTTCTCCCCAGATTGGTACTTGTATTACCTCCCTGATATGAAGTCAGATCTTGTGAGGATTTTTATAATGACCTGCCTACTACAGTTTAGATTTCTCCCCCACTCCCCAACTATAAAGCTTTATTCCTTCATTTAAAATAGTAGCTGTACAGTTTGGAGGGAAGAAAACTATATGGAAGACTAGATTGAAAAGAGGAGGAAAGACATATCTAGAGAGTACCCTTTGAATTTTTTTGTATCATCAAAATAAACGAAAAAATTTTGGCTAAGGAAAGTTCTATATTTCTCTTTTTTGTCTTAGATGGGACCCACAATTCTTCTGACCTTTGGAGTTCATCAAATGGGATGAGCCAGCCTGGTTTTGGTGGAATTCTGGGGACCTCCACTTCCCACATGTCTCAATCCAGTAGTTATGGCAGCCTTCATTCACATGACCGCTTGGTAGGCCGTAACACATGACTAGGGTGCAGCAACACTTTGTCCTTACTTGTGTTTCTTTTTGGATTACAAGTGTAAGATTTGATTCTGCCAAGACTTCTGAATGTTGAAATACTTCTAGGCTTACTTCATGCCTTTTGAAAGAAGTAAATGACAATAGTAGGTGTCTTCAGTTGCTAATTTATGTTGTTCTTTATAAGCTATTATAGTAGTTGCCCAGTTATATGTGCTTATTATTGAGAAAATGTATTTAATAGATCATATCTCTTTTCCTCTTTCTTTAGAGTTATCCTCCACACTCAGTTTCACCAACAGACATAAACACAAGTCTTCCACCAATGTCCAGCTTCCACCGTGCCAGTACCAGCAGTTCACCTTACGTTGCTGCCTCACACACTCCTCCCATCAATGGATCAGATAGCATTCTAGGTGAGCTCTTTTGGGTTGGCAAAACTCCTTAAAACTGAACTTGGGCATTTTTAGTGAATCCCATTTTTTTTTATATGTGTGTGTGTGTGTATGTGTATATATATATACACACTTGTTCTTTTCATGTTTTTTCCCAACTTTATCAAGATACATCATTGACATATAACACTATATAAGTTTAAGGTGTACAGTGTAATGATTTGACTTACAAACATCTTTAAATGATTATCACAATAAGTTTAATGAGCATTCATCATCTTATATAGATATAAAATAAAAGCAATAAAAAATTTTTTTTCTTTGTGATGATAATTCAGGATTTACTCTCAACAACTTTCCTATATAACAAACAACGGTGTTAGTTAATAGTCATCACATTGTGTATTACATCCCCAGTACTTACTTAAAACTGGAAATTTGTACCTTTTCACTCAACATATTTTTTAGTATTGAGTTTAAGTGTGAAAGAAAGGAGGAAAAGAACGTTTCTGATTTTCATTAATGCAGAAACTGGTAAGGAATCCATCTTTCCTTTAGTTTACTATTTGCTGGTTTATTGTGACAGATGTGCAGTAACAGTGGACACCATTGGAAAAATGGCAAAATGCTAAAAAGCATGGCTGCTCACTTGATAAACTTCTTGATTTGTTTTCCTATTTGAAATACTCAGGAACCAGAGGAAATGCTGCTGGAAGCTCACAGACAGGTGATGCACTTGGAAAAGCTTTGGCATCTGTGAGTATTGATTTTACGTATTTTGCTGACTGATTTTTACACTGCTGAATTGCAGTGATTTGATTTTGTGGGCAGTGTGTGGCATAGTTAAAGGGGATAGTTATAACAGGACCATTTCATTACTCATTTAGAGCTATTCTCAGTTTGTATTGATTTGTACTGCCCTTATAATAACTGATAGGAACACCTCCCACCTGATTCCCACAAGAACTGTCCTTCTAATTTCAATTTAAATATCTGTTTTGTCTTAATGGAACAGATGTAGGGAAAATTTTAAAAACTCAGTCATTTTAAAGCCTAAAGGACGGATTACTGAGATTAATTGTTAAATCTGTTTATTAGTTTTAAACATATACTTTGTGAGTTGCACGTTAAAATAAGCCAAGTGGAACCAAGAAACGTAGCTCAGTTATTCTTCTGATCCAGAGAAGGAAGTGCTTTTATAAGGATTTTTTCCTAAGATGGAAGGTATTTTAATATTTTTTAAAAGGAAAAAATAGTCTTCTGCTGATTCATTCAAGGCATAGGAGATGCACGCCTTTCCTAAAAGCAAAAAAACAGATTCACTGAGGAGCCCATGCTTAAATGAGTCAAACTGATTTGAGGGAACCCCATAATATTTTCCTTAGTGACTAGTTTACATCACAACCAGAATGTTAATGACAAAGCAGTGATTTGCTTTAATAAAGGCAGTGATTGGTTTTAATGTCTGATCCTTAAAACATTAAACTGAAATCTATTCTTTTGGGAGAATGTTTACTAGTAATCCATAAAGATTCCAAATCTAATTTTTTAAGAGGCATTTCTGCTTTGTATTTTCTAAAGTTTCTCCTTAGGCCTTTTCTTTCGTTTTTCCTCCTGAGTGATATGGCTCTCAGGTTTCTCAGAGTTGTCTTACTTAACGTTCTGCTATGAAATGCAGTTAACTCTGTCAAACATATTTGCTGCTGTTCATAGGGAACCTAATGTATGGATAGTAGGAAGCAGCTGTTGAACATTTAAGGAGATAAACCTCTTTGTGTATGGTTTTATGTAAATATTCTCTGTCCACAGCACTACAGGTTTTTCTTGAGAAATGAAGCCAGGTCAGATTCATCTCCCACGTAGTGGTGGCTCACGTAAAATAGAGCTCAGTAAATGTTCACTGAATTCAGTCTTGCATCATATGACAAAAACGATGTTAATAACAAAACCCACAAAAATATCATCTGTAATTTGTATGTTCACTAGGTGCTCGGCACTATACTAAGCATTTACATGCTTCATTTCATTTAATCCTCAAGAAAGCCCTGTGAGGTTGGCATTACTATTCCCATGTTGCAGATGAGGAACTAAGGTTTAAAAGGTTAAGTAACTTTGGCTCAGAAAGATTAAATAACTTGCCCTGAGGATCACCGAACTAGGACGGGTAAGGCCTAGTATTAGATTAGATCTGCTCTGACTAGCTTCACTTACTCTGTACTTCCAGAAAGACCAGTGCTACAGTGACTGTTATTTTATAAGGTGTTGATGAAGGTTAAAGGGAGTAGTCTCACTTTTTCTGAACTTATCCCACATGGTGATAACTACCTACTTTGAAAGAAAATTATTCTGTAATATTAATGAGTGCCTCTCAGGTATTTAATTTACTTGCTGATTTCTTCCTCTGATTTATAAGAATTCAGTAGCAAATATTTCACGTATAGAAAGACAAATAACATCTGAACTTTTAATATTAGGCAACTTTAAAAAAATATAACCTATATTTCAGGGGCTTTTTTCTCAAAATTCTTTTGTTCACTTTATTCAAGGAAAACTTCTTTAAAGGATCCTTGGCAGATAGGCAGGCAGGAATTTGTGGTATTCTCAGTGGTCTGTCAAGCTCCTTTTCAGTTACCCTTGAAGTCCTTGACTATTCTCCCATATTATAACCAATATACTAGCTGAACCAGTTGGCATTTGGAAAAGAAAATCTAAATCCAGTGTAAGTGGAAGCTAGGGAAGAATGTTTAATCTAGTTAGTGGGTGGGCTTTGGTTGTCATGGAAACTCAGCTCTGTCATCCTGTGTTGTTACTAGGCAGGAGCAGCCAGGTCATTCCATAAATCATTTCTGTCATAGCTGATGGTGATGCATTCCATCTGCTCCATCACTGCATGCCATAGTCTGCACACTTCAAATCCTTTCCTTCAATCCATCTCCTGCCCTGCTCCACACCAGACACCTCCCCCCAACATATTCTTTCCCTAACTTCCATTGCAAACTCATATTCACTTAAGTGCTGTCAAAATGTCCTGAAAAACAAAAGCATTACATTAGGGATAGGAAGGATTAGAAGAGATGAGGAGAAGGAATTTTATGAGAATTACAGTTGAGAGCCTGACATTCATATCAGAATTTTTGATGTTAGGTATTACAGATCTTTGGAAATGGTGGCATTGAGTATTTGAAATTTGCAGTTCTTTAGAATGTGATGTTTTAAATACAGCATCCAGGTTTAGATGGAGAAATGCTATGCTGTTGTCATTAGTAGTTATTTCTAGCTCCCTGAATGTCTGATATATGTCTTAGATGGTCTTTCATGTGTGAAACATCAGAGGGTACAACCTTTGTTCTTCAGTTTAGGTATTAAAGAGCACACAGAATACTGTGTGATTAAACATGGAAGGCCAGATAATACATTTGCAAAGATTCCTTTATTTTAGGTTTAAGCCTGGATAATTGTGGTCTTAATCTCAGGATAGCTAGAAAGAGAATTGTACATGAAAGTATTTACACAAAGTTCCCAAAGCCCTATGGATTATGCATTAGTTTAGATAATAAACTAGGGTAGATAGAAGGGAAGGAAAATCTGGATATTCGTGCCATTTCAGTGTTTCCCTGAACGTTTGCCAGACAAATAACCCTTTAAGATTGTGCCCGTGGAGAGTTATATAGAGGAAGAAACATCTGGTTTATTTCAGTGCCTAATACCATATCAAAACACTTGGTCTTTAATTTAGAGGAGATCAAACAAGAGGACTGTTTAACTTTGTTGATTATATCAGACTTCTCTGTGATAATTTATGTTTTGATTTCTACCTCAGCAAAGGAAAGAGAGAGAGAGAAACGAGATAGAGTGTGTATATATGTGTGGGTGTATTTTAATCTGGATAGTTAAATGGTCAGTAGTCTCTAACAAAAGAAAAGAAAATTCAGGGAAGTTGACGTTTAAAAGTTATTCATGAAATAAGTTTCTTTGTTCCTTAGACTCAATAACATTAGCATAATAAAGATTAACTGAAATGTGCACTGTAGTGTTTAAAAAATTGGGCTCACAGTTCCAGGGTTGGGCTTGGGAGCACTCCATTGTTTCTTTTTTGTCTGGGGCCCTTTTCATTAGCCTCTGGCTTATTGGCACCCTGCTGATTGGAATAGACCATGACTGATAGGAGGAGGAGCCTCATTTGTTGCAGTAAAATGAGGCATATTACCGTTTAAGCCTGGCAGAAGGTATTGGGAGTTATTCATCATTGGTCATTTAACAGTATAGGACCATGGACTGCATGCAGAATGAGTTCTTATTTGTGTTTATGCTCCAGATTCTAAATCACTCCCATCCCCGTTTTTTAAGTGAACTGACTTTTTTCTTTTCTTTTTTTTTCCTTTGAAACATCTATGTAGGAGTTCTTCAAGGTCAGAAAGTACAAAAAGTAATGTATTCCTGATTTAGAATGCTCTTCATCAAGTAAAGCCTATGTTTAGAATTTCTTAAAGTAGCACAACAGTTTCTATGGAATCTGTATAGTCTGTATGTGATTTGGTAATAGAATAAATATACAGAGGTGAAATATAATGAAATCATCTCTGATCTACAAGTTTGTGTTATTCTGCTATTTTAATATTGTTGCTCCCCCTTCCATGTACACATTCCTTTTATGAAAGTAAAAGGGACAAGAAAAAGTCCTGTAATTTTCCAGGCTATCCATCAGTTCAGGAAAAGTATTAATAATAATTGTCTGTCATCACTTTAATTTAGGGCAAAGTAGAACCAGGGAGTGTGATGAGTGAGTGGAGAAAATGGCTTTTATTATACAAATGGAGAAGGTGTTTTTAATAAAAATACCAGAAATTATATGTTAATAATGTTTTTGGTCCCGCTTCTCCTGTTTTCACAGTGATTTTTTTAAAAGCTCACACCATTTTATATGTAATATCATTTTGTTTAGTCATTGCAAGATGGTGATAAATGACTCTAAAATATAAACTTTCTTCTTTGAAGAAACCAGTTCTTCACATGCTTAGGGATTATTTAGCTGTAATGGCAGAGTTATCAGGGAAAATAAGGCTTAATAGTCTGTTTATACCCTCAAAAGCCCATACCTGCATAATGATGTGGTATGGACAGTTAGTATGTCAACACTAGTTCTCCAAAATATTGGAACCTTACCGTATTGTTGTTCTCAAAGCTTATACCATAAAACTGGTATGTAAGCAAATTCATCTTTGTAATAGTACTTGTTTCTCCTCTTAGCTATTCCTGTTACTGAACCCCACTATATAAATGCTGAGATCAATACTACTGTTTACTGAATCCTGCTTTTTATCAAAAAATATTGTAGCAAATTTCAAGTGCGATTTAATCACTCAAGTTTTTGGGTTTTTGGTTTTTTTTTTAAATGTTGAGCACCTACTTGTGCAAGATAGTGACAGACAGTGATGGATTCAGTGTTGAACAGTGTAAGGTCCCTGCCTTCAAAGACCTTGTAGTTGAGAGAGATACAAAAATGGTAATATAAAGTATACTGTGAAGCAAAAGACCAAAGAGAGGTAACAGATTGCTTCCCTGGTAGCTCAGTGGTGAAGAATCTACCTGCAATTCAGGAGACACCAGTTCAATCCCTGGGTCAGGAAGATCCCCTGGAGAAGGAAATGGCAATCCACTCCAGCATTCTGACCTGGGAAATCCAATGGACAGAGGAACCTAGTGGGCTGCAGTCCATGGGATCGCCAAAGAGTCGTATATGACTTAGTGACTAAAACAAGAAGTTACTCTAAGATTATAATGGAGGTAAAAGTGAGTGTAAATGGGAACATTATAGTTCAGTTGGGCCTTGACATGTTTTAGAATCCATCAAGGAAAAGTTAAGAAACAGGCCTTTTGAAAGGAAAAACTGTGTTCAAAAAATGAAAAAAATACTTTGTATATAATGCTTAATGTAAATTATAAGGTAGAAGGGCTTTTTTGTAACCAGATTATGGAATACAGTGAATGTCATTCTGTTTTATGTAGTCAGCAACAGGAATTGCTATATGGGACTTGTTCAAAACTGGTTGAGGACAATAGCTCAGTGAATTATGTATGGATTGGAAAGAGAGGGGAGTAACTGAAAATATAAAGACTTAAATAGTTCAGCCACTTCTTTTACTAGAGCTACAAGTTCTAGTAAAAGTTTAAAGTAGTGTTACAGCGATGAGAATGTTTATGCCTATCCCAAAAACATGACAGAGTTGTGGGCATCAGTATCTGTGGTGTGAAGCGCAGAGGGGCAGGAGAAAGGAGAGGGTCATGAGAGTGGTTTTGGTGGCCGTGAGAATGCTGGTGCTGACTGAGATAGAGAAAACACAAGAGTAGAGATGGAAAGTTGGGGAAGCTTGCGTCAGTGATGCAAAGTTTGCATTTGGACATACTGAGCTTGAGCTGAAAGAAAGATATTCCCAGACGGAGGTGTATAGCAGCTAGAATACAGCTGTTCACTTCGGAGGCGTTCACAGAGATGTCATAGTTGATGCTTTATAAAGAATGGTATTAAAAAAAAAAGAATGGTATTACCAAGAGATAAAACACAGGTAAATAGAAAAGGAAACAGCCTGGAGTGCTCAGAAAACATGCATTAAGTGAACTGCAAGAGTAAAAGAAAGAAGGACCCTAGGTAAATATATCCAGGGGTTTAAAAGAGGTACTCAATTGGTAACTTCTTAAGTGGAAGATAGCATTCATTCTTTTAGCAAGTGTTTGTTTACCAGCACCATTGTAGAATTGGAAGCTAATGCAGAAGGCTGTGTAATTCACATTTGTCTGAGTAAGATAGAGAAGTCCTTACACTCTGGAACATACATTTTATTAGGGAAAAGGGTAAAAGAGACAGATGATAAACAAGAAAACAAGTTTAGACAATTAGGGATTAATGTAAGCAGTGTGAAGAAAACAAAGCAGGGAGGTATATGACACAGAGGGAATGCTATTTCTCCAGTGCTTTCATGCAATTAATTCATATAGAGAAGGAAATTGAAAGTCAGCAGGTAGGTCTAGTTTATGATAGTCAGAGTTTTGCATGGAACTGGAATTTCTCTCACTCCTCAGCCACCTACCATTAGTGCTATCAGTCCTTCCCTCCCTTACCAATATTATAGTCAAGACATATTTCATAGTAGTCAGCATCAGTTGTTCATAAAAGTTATAATTATATGCATCTTAAACACTGGAAATAATGATTTACAAAAATAAAGGGATACGTTGAGATGTTTTTGTTGGAGTTTGGTAACCTCACCTAATTTACTTATGGTTGAAATAAATCATTGTATGTATTAGGAACCAAAGTATAACCTTTTAGTTAATTTTCACATGTGTGAAAAGTAACAACTTTTAAAAGGTGACCACTTTGACAGCTTAAAACCAACAACACTGATCTTATAGCATACCACTTCCTTACTACTAAGTCTCCATACGAAGTCTTTTGACGTCTTCTTGATAACTGTGTTTTTCTAAAATGACTTTACAACCTGAGAATTCCTGGCAGTCCAGTTGTTAGAACTCGGCCCTTCCACTGCTGGGGGCTTGGGTTCAACCCCTGGTCAGGGAACTGAGATCCTACAAGCTGCATGGTGTAGCCAAAAAATAAAACTACTTTCCAACCTATATATATGACTTCTAGATCTGGGTCTTCAGAAAGAGTTGGTGTGTAAAGAGATTTCCAATTACAATTTAATAACATCAAGCAAATTGATAGAGAAATATTCATTTCTAATCACTGCTTAACAATTTAATTAGTGCTACCTTTAAAAAATAAATAAATGAAAGCTGTTAGTGTTCGATGATTGTGACCCGTGGAATTTTGTTTTACATGAGCCTTTCACAGTATCTGGCTTTTTCAACATATTACACTGTCTTTAAAACCAGTGCTGAGACCTCTTACATGCTGTAATTTGGGCATCTTTAAGTTTATTAGCGCTCTCAACTTATTCAGAGCAAGATTATTTCTATTGGATGACACTTTGCACCCACAAATAGTTTTCCTTTTTAAAATATTTGACCACAGATTCTCCAAAGAAGTTGACTTATCTGCCCTAAGTGCTGAGATACGAAGATGATTTATGATACCTGTTATAGTAATGGGACTGTCCTAGAGAAGAGCTCCTGAGAATTGTTGGTGTGTGGATTAGGGAGGCATTTTAAATGTTTATGACTAGTTACATAGCTTGAATGAATTTCTGTTACTATTTTTTTTTCAGCAATGTGAAAGAAAGTATTGCAACAAAACCTTTAGCCAAAGTACAAAAATTTATGCATCCCTATATGTTAAACTCTTAGGTGGTAAAGTCTATAAATTACTTAGGGAACATTTTTTGAAGAACTTCCAGCATTTTTTCACTTTCATCAAAGGTGACAAAATATCCTTTAAAAGCAAGCTTAATTTTTTTTTTTTTTTTTTTTACAATACACATCATTAGGAGCTGAATTTAGCAAAAATGTTAACCAAACAGAACTTTTTAAAAGAAATAAGGGGTAACTTTTTAAAAATCATTTTCTTTGGCCTTTGAAACTATTTTCAAGGACTATTCTCTTCAAAAAAATAAGTTTCCTAAGATTATTTTGGGGGCTTCCCTAGTGGCTCAGTAGTAAAAAAATTCGCCTGTCAGTGCAGGAGACGCAGGTTTGATCCCTGGGCCAGGAAGATCCCCTGGAGAAGGAAATGGCAACCCATTCCAGTGTTCTTGCCTAGAGAATGCAATGGACAAAGGAGCCCCAAGGGCTACAATCCATGGGTTCATGAAAGAGTCAGATAGTACTTACTGACTAAACAGCAACAAAAAAGATTATTTCTAATACATAAAATTTATTTAGATAGTATATTCTAGAAAGATTGTTTATCAAACTTGTTGATTTTATATTTCTAGTCACTTGTTTTTTGTTCTAGTAGTTAGAATTTTAATTATTTTCAACTAGGATAATAAAGAAGTTGCTATGATCTATTTATGCCTCTTGTATTAGAATATTTATGATACTCTTTAATCCTAGTTTTAAAACTGAGACTTCTGTAGTTTTTATGTAATGGAGTAGTCCTAAAATTTATTAAACAGTTTCCCATTCATGAGTCTTAAGGGTGGCAGCTTAGACTACAAAAATATCTCCATGCCAGTGGATTTATATTTTTGCTTTTGTCACATATTGATGTGTTTGTCTTTATTTTCTGGTTAGATTTATTCTCCTGACCATACCAGCAGTAGTTTTCCATCAAATCCATCAACACCAGTTGGATCACCCTCACCTCTCACAGGTAAGCTTTTGTTTTATCTAACTACTTAATATCATATGTGAGGCTACTTGAAAATATTTGAAGTTTATTTTTCAATAAAATATAGTAAAGACACACACACACACAAAAAATCATTTGTTTTGAGAAAGCATGTAAACAGAGTCTTCTCCTGAGTTCATTTTGGAGAATGTTGAAAAATTTGCTATTTGAATTATTTGTTCGTATCTCCTTTGGTTCTTAAAATAATTTGCAATAATTAAATTATTGCAACAGGATAAAAAATAAGGCTAGGCAATTGAGATGAAAGTAAAATATAGAGGAGATAAATTTAAAAATTTGATAAGCTAGCATAGAAAATAAAATAATCTATTTAGAAGTACATATGACTTCTTTCTTCCTTATTTTTAAGTCCACTGAGTTATTATGTCATATATATGTATATAAATTCTTGGGAATATTAGAGGGTTTTTTTTTTTTTTTTTCTGAAGGAAACAACTCGTTGTGAATGTGGGTGAATATTGTTAGTAGAGTTAAATAAATAAATGTTCAGTCTTGTGTTGTGTTTTCCTTTTTTTTTTTAACAGCAGCTTTAACAAGTTCCAGATAGTAACCTACGGTATAAATTTGTTGAGATACAATTGTTATTCATGTAAATAGGAATTTTTCAATTTATTAGAAATAAAATTACAGGGAAATGCTTGCATTTATTAAGCTATAAAACTTGAAATATATTTCCTGAGCATTGTTTGGAGAAAAACCATGCTGAAGAAGAAATGTATTCATTCTAAGGAAGACATTAGACAACTGTGTAAAAATTGCCATTTTCCTCCAACAGTTGACCTCAGAAACAATTCTGTATTCCTGACCAGGTCACTAGTTCAGGCCATGTGGCATTGTTGTTGCTGTCAAGCCTTTTTGCATTGTTCAGGATTTCTGAAATTCAGGACTCTGATATATCAGGGCTCTGGCTATCACCTGTGTGCTGTGATTTAGCCTTGTGACTCTGCTAAGAAGCATTCCAGTGTGGAAATGATGAACTGCTGGCAGCTGCTTTCAGCTATTAGTGGTTCTGCCACTTTCTCAGACACCATGGCTTCAGCTGTCTAGTAAAAGTAGAACAGCTGTTCCCCGTATAGACGGGACTATGAAAGACCCATTGACTTAGAGTTGTTGTTTAACAGAGGGATGAAATTACAGGAACAATGATGTAACTTTAACCATATTCACCATCTTGGCAGAGTTTTACTGAAGTTATCACTGTCATTTTTGCCACAGCCCATTCCACTTTTTCGTCTCGGGTAGCTATGTTGGCCCTTACTGTATGCTCCTACTGCCTCTTCTCCTCTGCCCAGTAAGACAGCTATAGAAGTGTCCTTTAGTTTTCATGAACATTGGTTGGGAAGACAGGCAGCAGAGATGCTCAGCATCTGTGAAGGAATATCAGAAAAATGAGGAATCAGAGACTTAGACATTTTTCAAAAAATAATGGTCCAAAGTAAAATCTCACATTTCCTCCTTCATTTTTATTTGATGTTTAATGCATGGTATCCTTTTTCTGCCTTTAATTCAGCTGATAAATGAAAATCTGTGAACTGTTGGATTATGTAGTGAAGGTAATAATAGATTTCTTTTTCAACTCAGTTGTCATACTCAAAGAAAAATATTTTTATATATTCCTGTTGAAGTGGTAAATCAAAGACTCATTTTATACAGGTGCATCTTTGTCTCATCTCCTGTATCTAGTGTTTTCTTCTTATAACCACATATACACACATATCCCAGATTGATGGAGCAGACATGGAAAGGGAGGAGGAAAAAGGGAAAGCACTGTGTAATAAAGTTTTCACAGTTGAAGGAGAAATGAGTAGGACAGAGCAAACCAGAGCTCCTATATAATATATGCAAATTATTTTGTACCTTCTGTGGCAGTGGCCCATTGTTGAGAGTAAAACATCCCACCCCGTGTGCTCTCTACACTGGGCTTGTTTCTTATGCTTGAACATCAGTCCAACTCAACACACCATGTAAGAATACTTACAACATAGGCAGTTTCTAAGGCATTCATCATTCTTGTTTAAATTCTGCTCGTGTTCAGTAGTAGTAATAATAGAAAATGCTTATGAGGAAAAAACATCTAAGATGATTATAATATTTTAGTTAAGATACTTCAGGCTGAAAGAAAGACAAACTCTTGTCTGGAGTGGATTACACAGTAAGGAGATTTGGGATATCTTGTATAAAGCCCATAGCAGGGCAAGTTCCTGGACCAGTCTGGACTCCTGCTCTATTTCTTTGAAATTCTTTCTCAAGCTGGTGGCAAGACAGCAGTTAAAGGTACCACATGTAGACATAACCATGTCTCCTATAAGAAAAAGAACCATCTATTAAATGTCTTTTCAGAATCTTTTTCTGGAAGCCTCTTTAACAGGTTTTCCCTCATGATTCATTGATCAGTACTGGGCCTGACAGTTACTTAACAGAAATGAGACCACCATATTTGTCTTAGTTGTTAGGATTTATCCCAAAAACTAAGAATAGAATTAATTACTCTTTGCAGGTTCACAGTAGGAAAGGATAGACACCCCGCCATCTTCTGAACAAAATCTGTGCTCTAGCAGCAAGGTAGAAGAGAAGTATGGCTGTGTCTAATACAGTTGTCATTTGAAAAAAGATATGACTATTTCAATTAAGAGAATGTGTTTACTAAAGAAACTTGGAAAGCAGACAAAACAGTTCTTTACCTAATTCGGGAATATCAGTGAATAAAAGTCTAATAACTGCAGCACTCAGTAGCAATCTTTGGAACATCCGCAATAAAAGCAAAGAGGATGTGGGGGAGATAGGGAAGATTCCTCAGTTTGGACTCATCTCATCAATGAGATATTTATTTTTGTTATCTGTCATTGTGCCTGTTGTTAAAGCAGTTAATCTGACTTCAGCAAGTTTTCAGTTTAGTTGAGAAAATAAGAGATAAACACATGAAAATAGAACCATCAGAACTCACTCTTGAACTATCAGAATTCACTCTACACTACAGTTCTCCAGATACATTTCATGAAGAGAGGGTAAAGGAGAAAGAACTTTCTGAGTTTAAAAGAACAGTATGACAGAGGTCAAGATGTGGAAAGTGTATGACCTGTTCATTCAGACTCATTGAGATGACTGATCATGAGCTCTTCACATATGAAGAGCTTCCCCTCAAATGGGAAGGTTGGCTGGGGCCAGATTGCAGAAAGCAGAGCATTCAGTGCTACACTGAGGATTATTCAACCTTTTCTAAGGTTGGAGTGTATCATGAAAGTTTGAGTTTAGGGTGAGAGTACAAAGAGAAGCAACTAACAAAATAAGAAAATGCATGGTAAATAGTCCTAAGAATTTCTCTCAGCCACACAAAATGATGTTATCTATTCTCTAAATTTATTAACCAATTTTATTAGGGTGGTGTATTACTAAATCCCAGTCAGAGCAAAAACAGATCAGGAATACTAGGTGAATTTTAGATTTAGTGATCACAGAAAGAAAACCTTTCCAGATTTTCTAGCCAGATAATTTGATTCTCTTATCCTTGTCAGCTAACTTGTTTTCTGGAAATAGTAAATTTCAATGCTAAGTAATAAGTTTATTATAATCCTTGGATAACAGCTAACTTTTGGGGGTGGTCATTAATATAAAGCTCAGGGCAAAGCCCAGGACAATTACAAAATCTGTTAACTATATAAACAGTTGAAAGCTTGCCCTTATCTAATAGAACAGTGTATAAGCCCAAAACCTCTACATGTGTCTACAACCAGGTATCCTGTGACAGGGAAGGAAGGGAGGAAATAACCTATTCTCTGGGAAACCCCATAGGTTTTTGCCCTTTGCACTTTTGTTTTACCATTATTTGTATAACAGTGCTATAGCTGGTGATAAACTAAAGATAATGATATCAAAATATTCTAAATGGATCTGTATATTTTATTCATTTAGTAGTTTTTAAAAGAGACAGTGATCCAGATCTGTCTAGTGTCAAAAGTATTCTGTAGCATTATGGTCTCTGTCTAGAACTTGAATTCCTTTCACAACCCCACAGTTCTTATTCATAACTAATAAGCCATCAGTGGGCCAGAATTACAAGACTGTGAGTCTTTTTTCATCATTGGTTACATGATTGGTTTCTTCATCAGGAAGAAATAATAATAATATTTCGTTGTCAGAAAGATCTTTTAGACTCACAAACACTGTGTGTTCGTATCTTTTACCTCATTGGTCTTGTAAAGGCAGATTAAAAACAAAAACTAAAAAAAAACTGAATACCTATTTTATGGTGAGTTTTCTAAATTAATTGATAGTACAGATCAACCAGAATGCAGGTCCACTGATTCTCAGTATCCATTAAACTTCCATGCTCTTTTTTGAGCTTTACTAGACATAGGATGGCCTTTGTTGAACTGACGCAGTCTATCTTAACTATCCAGCCATCCCCTTTGTGACCAATAGCATGAATTTTTGAAATGACTGAGCTTTAAAGAGCTCAGTTCATGAAATACAGCTTGGCATTTTATAAAATTCAAACAGATATAGATGATTTAACCATGTTAGTATTCTACTTTAATCAGGTTCGTCTCAAGTGGGGCAGCCTAATCTATAATAATTTTAAAAAAAAAGGTTTGAGTATGTGTATGTTTTTCCAGTCTAATAAATTACATTTTGAAGTAGACCATAGCATAGATACTTCATGTCACTGTCAAAAAATAGTGACTATAGGTGATTTCTTACCTGAGTAACTGTACACACATCGCATTCCTCAATACTAAGGTACCAAAGAACCACAAAAATTGCCTGTTTTGCAAAGCAAATGTGTTCTGAGTACTTAAACATAAAACTTGCATTAATGAGCCACACAGATTAAATATACTATCACAGGCTGATCACCCAAGGATGTTGGGCAAAATGGAGCAAAATGATTGAAAATAAAATATTATAGGGCTTTCCTGGTGGTCTGGTGGTTAAGAATCCACCTGCTAAAGCAGCGGACACAGTTTTGATCCCTAGTCTGGGGAGATCCCACATTCTGTAAGCCCATATGTCACAACTACAGAGCCCATGCTCCATAACAGGAGAAACCACGTCTTGAGAAGCCTGTGCACCACAATGTAGAGTAGCTCCTGCTCACCGTAACTAGAGAAAGCCTGCACACAGCAACAGAGACCCAGTGCAGTCAAAAATAAACAGATAAATCTTTAAAAAAAAAAAAAAGGTCTTGCGGTCCCTTCTTTAAAGAAAAAAAAAAAAAATATATATATATATATATATATATATATATGGTAAACATTAAGGGAAACTCTTTTAAAAATAATTTCAGTTCTTTTTAAAAATAGATTATGATTAACCTCTTATCCACATAAAAATTCACAATCCTACATTAGTTTTGGAAAGCATCACCAACTCGATGGACATGAGTTTGAGCAAGCTTTGGGAGTTGGTAATGGACAGGGAGGCCTGGCGTGCTGCAGTCCATGGGGTCACAAAGAGTCATACACGACTGAGGAACTGAACTGAACTGAGCTGATATACTGAAATCAGTGGTCAAGTGTTACTTTATTTAAGAACTTTTCTTCTTTGGCTCGCTGGCTCTTTGATGTGGCAAGAGGACTGTCTCTAGTTGCAGTACTCACTCGCTTCTCTTGCTGTGGAGCACAGGCTCTAAAGCACACAGGCTTAGTAGTTGTGGTGCACTGGCTTCTCTACTTGCGGCAGTTGGGCCTTAGCTGCCCCGCAGCTTGTGGGGTCTTAGTTCCCTGACCAGGGATCGAGCCTGCATCCCCAGCCTGAAAAGGTGGATTCTTAACCACTGGAGCACCATTAAAGTTCCTGGTTCTTTTTATATGAATTCTTCATGTAGTCAGTTACTGGATTTTTCTGATTGCTAAATTCTACTTGCTAAGTGTAAAATTAGCCCACATGCTTTCTGTTTCAATGAGCAGTTTTAGATTTTCGATAATTTGTGTAGTTAAATTATGATTATATTTGTATGTCTAGCAGGTCACCTATAATGGACAGAATAATTTGTAATTTGCTTCCAAGTAAAAAAAATTGTTAGTCAATGAAGTATATATAGCATATATTTTTCTTATAATTTTAGTATTTAAAAATTTTTGTATAATCACAGTAATATCCATATAATTATAAAATATAATCAAGTTATTAGGAATCTTATGTATCCAGCTTTTCAACTTAACAAAATATAAATGATTAATAGGAATACAAATACTAGGTTGTTCAGCTAAAGTGAACTATAATAGTTCTAATTTACCTTAAGTTTTTAGTTCCCTAAATGTGGCAAATTAACCTAAAATAACAAGCTATGGTGGAACATAGTTTAAAATTTCATTTAGCAATAAATGAGACAAATTAAGTAAACATTCAGCTTTTCTAACTTTAGATTTCTAATATAATTCAGTTTGTCACTGAAGCTTTGGGTAAAAACAATACTATGTATTTAATTGAATGGTCTTCATTATTTTCTGCAAATAACTTATTTTCAAATGCAGTTATGAAATAGTAAAGATTTTTGATCAGTTGTTTTGTCTTTTTCTTTTTAAAGCTATTTTAAAGCACTGCATTCTCCGAAGTACATAAATTAGTCTTTTTATTTCTTTTGTGTTTTCTTCTTTTTATTCTTTCTGTTCTGAACTTGTATCCTTTCTTTTTGTATCCTTTTTTAATACTATTGCTGCTTTTCTAAAGTTGAAGAGTAAATGTTTAACAGAATTTTCATGATAATATTTTCCAACTTAAATGATATGTTTTGGTGTAAATTATGTTGGGAAAATTTTTAGCAAATAAACCTAAATGTATTTGCGGTCATTTGAAATTGGTGCATTTGTGCATTACTAAAGGCACAAGTTAGTATAACCCTTTAGAAAGTAGTTTTGACCTTACGAATTAGGGATCATAAATATGTTCATACCTTTTAACTTAGAAATGCTATTTATCCTTAGACATGTTCCCCATAAGGAAAACACAGTATTTTTTTAATCATTCCTAATATAGTGATACTCAATTACTATTCATAATAGCCAAATGAAAGCAACCAAAGTGTCCAGCAGTGAGGTAATGATGGCTAAGCAAATTATGATGTAGAGAATCAGATGAATATTAATGTAAGTCATTAATTATCATAAAGACTATAAAATATGGAAGGGCAGAATTTAAATTATATATATTTTAAGTACATTTTCTCAAGATTCATGTGCATGCGGACAAAGTGTGAAGAACATGTAAGTTTAAAAGTAGTTACATGTTATAGTTTTTTCCCTCAACTCCCTCAATTTTAATAACGAAAAAAATATTAATGTGTTGGGCTTATCAGTAGCCAGTACCATGCTGAAGACTAAACAAAAATTTTCACATAAATTTGTACACACCTAGCAATAGTATATCTTTGCCCTTTTCTTCAGAACATTATCAAGATCACTGAGTTAACCAAGGTGTGTGGGTGCTTTGGGGTTTTGTTTCAACAGGTACGAGTCAATGGCCCAGACCTGGAGGTCAAGCTCCTTCATCCCCAAGCTATGAAAACTCACTCCACTCCTTGGTAAGAGCCTCTGAGAAACATACAAGATCTATTTCATCTAATAGTATGGAGTTGTTTTGTTTTGTTTTTCCCCCAGAAAATCTTGAGTAACAATGAAAAAACAGTAGGATAGCATTACACACGAATTCTTTGCTAACAAATGGCCTGGTTTAGCTGAACAATATGAGACACATTGGGTGTGCCTTTTGCCATCTGTTCTTTGGGACATTGGTTTTAGGACAGCTGGTTTTAAAATAGTGTTATGGGATTCTTGTTTCTTTGACAGATCTAGGATTTAATTTTACTGTAATTTTATGTTTATATTTAAAGAAAATTTAAAGGGAAAAAAACCCAGAGACCAAGTAAAAGAAAATTAGTTCAGCAATGCAAAATGGTTGTATTTTACTCTTTCTCCTATGATAACTGTGTATAGTTGGTTACATTTCTATTAAAAGTTTCAAATGCAACATCAGTTATTTTTGTCATGAAGAGTATTGTTTTCCATGTTCTCTTTTTATTAAAAATGTGTAAATTGTATTGATATATGCAAAAACATAGATAAACAAGGCAGTAGAATAAAGGAGCCTGTCTAGGTATTGAGCATGAAGAATTTGTGGTAGGATGTTAACTACTGTTGCCTTTCTATGCTTACCACAGAATTACGAAGCATTATAAAAACAAACTAAGGATGACTTGATGGAATGCTAAGTCATGCTATTCAATAATTCCAGGTTGCAAATAGAAAAGTTCTTTTTCTGTGACTAACAGAACATTTTAAATTAAAGGAAAGTTTTCTTCTCACATTTAAGCAAATATAAGCAATGTGTGCTATTTAGACGCTAACCTTATAACTTTGCTGTTAAATCCCAGCCTTCTCATACCTTAATACAAAGTAGATCTTGCAGGTCTCCGCGTTAACTTTACTAACATGTTATGCTGACATGCACATCAGCTATTTCCTCATCTCTTTTGGAGTTAATCTTAACCTGTGCTTTGCCTCCTGTTCTGTCTTGACTTTGCCAGAAAAATCGAGTTGAGCAGCAACTTCACGAGCATTTGCAAGATGCAATGTCCTTCTTAAAGGATGTCTGTGAGGTACTATTTCTTTTAGATGGTGCCTTTTTTTGTGTTTCAGTTAATTATACTTACTATTATCCATTTAAAATCTTCAAGCCTGTGCAGACTCCAGAGTCTTTTAAAATCAATGACTATTTTTGTTTTTGTAACAATATGTAAGAATAGGCCTTTGTTCTCATATATGGTTGAGTATGATTCTTTTTAAAAGAGCTCTACTGGCATGTGCTTTTGGTTTTTTAAATTCTAATATGTTTGTGTATGGGGCATGTGTATATCCACAGACAGATATCATTTCATCAGTTTTGTGAAAAGAGCACATTTGGATATGGTCAACATTTCAGATAGGTATTAAATATTCACTTAAAACAAAATTACAACTTAAATCTGATGGATTTGAGGACCCTTCCCCAAGTTGCCCTCGTTTCGATGTTAAAATACAGGTTATCTTTTTTATCAATGATAATTGAATGCCAGATACTGTAGAGTAGCCTTCAGCTTTTGTAGACACTAAAAGAAATAACCTCATGCTAGATTGATAAATAGATTTTTATGAAGCAGTGGTTTGCTTCTGAAGCTTTGGTAATTTAGCATAGTTTACAAATATCCTTTTTTTGATTGTTTATTTATAGTACAGGTAGTTTCTTTTGAAGCTATTTGGTGTTGCATATTCACTTGCTGTCTTCTATATATCACAAAGTAGAAATCATAGCAATTTAATGCATGCAGCAGATAAAAGCAGTAACCTCCATATCTTTTTTCAATCCCTACAGCAATCTCGGATGGAGGATCGTTTGGACAGACTGGATGATGCTATCCATGTGCTGAGGAACCATGCCGTGGGACCTTCTACCAGTTTGCCTGCTGGTCACAGTGATATACACAGTTTATTGGGACCATCGCATAATGCACCAATTGGAAGCCTCAATTCAAACTACGGTGGATCAAGCCTTGTTACAAGCAGTCGATCTGCTTCAATGGTAAAATAGTGCTCATGCTTTTTGAAATAACCCCTGAAGCCTATTCTCCTAAATGTTTTTCGTGAAATCTTTTAGGGAGAGGGCCCTTCTTTTTATAAACAAGGTAGAGTAGTTTTTAAGAATTTCTTTTACTGTTTTGGACAGGGTCATTGGCTGAGCATTTGACCTTAAAATCCTGCTATGATCATGTGCAAAAAGCAGAAACTTTATACAGAGATCATATTAGCTTAAACTTGAATTTTTTTTCCATATGTATAATAATTGATGGAACGTATTTTTGCCTTGAAACAATGTGTAGAAAGTCTTAATAGCAAAAGCAAGAAAGCAAGACTGATTTTCAGGGGTTCTAGTCCAGAAAAACTGTTTATTATCATTGGAACTAACCTTCAATAGAACGAACACAATAGTATTTGTACAGGTCCAAATTTAAGTTTTATTCCCAAACGAAGAAAAAAATGTGAGGTAGTTTTGAGAATGGCTGTAATTTAAGTGACAATGAAAGGAAACAATTTTAGATTAACTCCTGAAGAGACTAAAATCATTCAATCCATCTTTTTTAAAGCATGGTAATTCTTTAAAGTAGGGAAAAGTAACATTCTGCAGCCGTGCACATCGAAAATTGTGTGTTGATGTCTTACATTATTTTTTATATAAATTATGTTTTAAAGTAATGAAGCTTTTTTTGAACCTGCTATTTAATTGAAACCATGTGTTTGCATGTTTATGTCATGGTTCTTAAGATTCATTGCATGCTGTGAAATATTCTTCTATGAAACAGATTTCTGACCATAAGCCATGTGATCAAGGCTAAAACTCAGCTATCATTGAAATAATTAGGTGCCCCAAATGCTGAAGTCTTGTGTTCTATAAAATAGGATTGGTTCCAGATTTTTACATTCACATGTCAGGGAGCCATTTATATTCATTCTGGAGCTGCTGAAGTAAATATCAAACAAGGCTGCCTAGTTTCCTAAGAACAATGTTTTCAGCAACATGGGTGACATTAGATGCCTGCATGTCTTAACAGCTGTGTTTTTGTTTTCTAATATCAGAAGATCTTAAAATTTAGGCTTTTTAAAAATTAACTTTTGTTGCTGTTGATAAACTAATAATTGCAAAAAAATTTATAAATTACTGCATTCATAGAAATTTAAGCAGTATTTTTATCACTACTAGTGATAGTAGCAAAATAATTTTAATATTATAAGATAGCATTTGTTGTAAATATAAATTATTACTTTGCTGAAATACCATCTATCCTTATTTGGAAGAAGGACTTACGAATCAGTGTCTTGGAATCCTAAGTTTGTCTCAGTTGCAATATGTGCAATTCTTAGTCCTCACCTCTTAATCATTTTTAATTCTTCATTGTTAATAGCTCACTGCTCCTACTCCAGTTTATCTGCTACAATATTTGATATATCTCTGGATCCTCTTAAATAAATGTAGAGTTTGTATGAAATGGAACTTCTGTCTTTGGGAGGTTGTTTTTATCAACTTTGGATACAAGTTGGAAAAGAAATTTTTCAAAATCCAGTCTTCCAAAGCCATATAAAAACCTAGTACACTTTAAAAGGACTTGTAGAGAGAAAAATTGTTTCATTATATATTGCCCTGAAACTTGTAATTAAGAAAGTAGCTTCCATTATATCCACTAGGAATATGCTGCCTGTTTCAGAGTTGCCAGATATATTCTTTACAAAGGAAAAAAAACTGAAGGTAATCTAGAAAAAAAAGAGTTCTGAAACATGAGGTGAGTCTAACATAGTCTGAGAAGCAGCACCAGTGCTGCAGCAACTAAGCCCAAGCTATCGCTTAGTTTATCTATCAAGGTTTTCTTTCAGTTTTTATAACCTTCTTAGAGGACACAGAGCTGGGGAAAATCTGCCAGGATCTGCTGTATCCACCCCATCCAGATGTTATCACTAATGAGAGGGAGATGCAGATGTTTCTGCCAGGCTTACCTTCAAATATTATTAACTGACAAAATCTGACAATGTCAAGTGAGTCAGTATTAAATTCCCATCCTTCTGAAATGAACTTTTTAGCTGTGAATACTCATTTCTTAGTTTCAGCAAAAGACCAAAGGATAGAATGAAATTAAAATCACAGTCAGTCAGAGACTGTCCCAGCTAAGTGTTAGGCATATTGTTGAGGAAAATTTATCCTGTTGGCTGTTATTCATGTCTGAGGGCTTCCATCAGTACTACCAGGAGCCTTGTTTACATGCTTTTTTCATGTTCTGAGAGAGTGTGTGATTTGGAGGACATATTGTAACTATTCCCAGCCATCTCCAAGAGTTAATCTCCTGCCTGTATGTATCTCACCTTCATGTATTCTAACTGTTCATGACTAAGAAATGACACAATTTTACATTCTGGAAACACTTCTTTTTTTATCTTGCTTAACTTTCTGGTAGTTCATGTATTTTTCCTCTGTATTAACATAAATTAGTATTTTGGGGGCTTCCCAGTTGACTCAGATGGTTAAGAATCTGCCTGTAGTGCAAGAGACCTGGATTCGATCCCTGGGTCAGGAAGATTACCTGAAGAAGGGCATGGCTACCCACTCCAGTGTTCTTGCCTGGAGAATTCCATGGACAGAGGAGCCTGATGGGCTGTAGTCCATGGGGTCGCAAAGATACTTTTCCTCTGTATTAACCTAAGTTAATATTTCTTAGACCCCTAAAAATGGAGGTTTACATGGCCACAATTACAAAGTAACTGCAGAAAGAGCAGTTTATCAGCAATTCTGTATCACCATTTAGAATCTGTAAAGTCAGCTTCCCTCAATATTTAATTTTCATCATTCCATTTATTTTTCTGTAGAGAGTAGAACTAGTCTGCTAAACCTTTCTAGGAACTCCATAGAACATGCAAGTAAAATTTTTGATGAAGTGGATTTTTGTTCTCATAGGCATTTACTAGAGGTCACCATTTTAATTCCAGGTTTTGAATATGTTACTTTCTCGCCTAGCATTATAAACAAGAAGAGCCAGAAACTTTTTCTGTAAAAGGTCAGATAGTAAATATTTTCAGCTTTGCAGGATATATACTCTGTATCACAATTACTTAACTCTGATTCAATAACATGAAAGCATCGATAGGTGTTAGAAAGACAAATGGGTGTATCTGTGCTTTAATAAAGCTTTATTTAAAGAAAGGGCCTCCTTTATTAGTTTTAAAAAAAAAAAAAACAGGACCAGATTTGGACCACAGACATACTTTGCCAATCTCTAGTTTAGAACATAAATTAGCTTCCCAATGTAGGAAGTGAGAATTAGCAGGTTTTTGTTTGTTTTTTTCTTTTTCTTAGCACCTATAGCTTTTTTTAATATTTCATTTCAATCAGTAGTTTGGGAGTTTTGTGATGTAGTTGGAATATTTGAGGTGAGCCAGAATTCACTGAGAGTGGAAGAAGAGTACTCAGTGGCAGGATAAAAGTAATACAGAAAGTCCTGCTCTCAACCTTGAGGTGCTTCCAAGATTACTAGTGCTATGAATTCTACATGGGCAGGTTAACCAAATAGTCTCCTTGATCAAAGAAGTAGCTTTGTTGCTGAGAACCTTTCCTGAAATTTTTTTCAGTTATAACAAAAGTATGCCAGTAAGATCATCTGCAGCTTTTAGTAATGATTTGTAGATACATCTGTCTTTCATAGATGAAATAATTACTATTTTTATTACTATTTTCTATTTCACACAAAGATAATAAGACTACCACCTGCCAAAAATATTAATAGGAGTCAGTATCAGGAGAGCTAACTTTGTTCTTTATTTATTTGTTCATTTATTTATGGCTGTACGGGGTCTTCATTGCTGTGTGGGCTTTTTCTTTAGCTGCAGCCGGGGCTACTCACTAGTTGCGGTGCAGGGGCTTCCCACTGTGGTGGCTTCTCTTGTAGAGTATGGGCTCTAGGGTGTGTGGGCTTTAGTGGTTGCAGCTCTCAGGCTCCAAAGCGCAGTACTTGTGACACACAGCCTTAGTTGCTCCATGGCATGTGGGTTCTTTCTGGATCAGGGATCAAACTTGTGTCCTGCATTGGCAGGTAGATTCTTTACCCTTGATCGTTTGTTTCTTTTAACAGAACAAACTTGACTAGCACAAAAGGTTAGGATTAAAAGAGATTCCAACCACACAAATAACATATTTTAAGTATCAATATACACAAAAATTAAATTTCCTGAAGATTATTATATCCAAAAAAAAAAAGCTAGTAAGTGGATAATTCTTATTCCTTCTCATATAATTAGTGTAGCCAGTCTGCCCTATTTTTAACATTTCCTCTTACTTTTGAATAGGGTTAACATTTTCATTTACTTAATTTCTTATTCCCTTTCAGTATTTTTGACAGTTTCTCCATATCCTCTTAATCCAAATATGAAATTAAGGCTTTATCAGACACTGTTATTAGAATGTGATTGAATCATTTAAAACACAAAATCAGGATTTTTAGAACTACTGAAATGTGACCACTGGACAGATTATAGTTTTGCTCTCATTTACTTAGTGTAAGAATGAACTCTTGGAATAAACTGCTGACTGGAAGAAATAATGTTAGTAAGTGGAAAACTGAAAAGGAATGAGACTCATTGATTTCATTTAGGCATTACAAAGAGGTTTCAGCAATATAAAGTTATTGTACATCACATCTGTTTATGGCTGTAATATCTAAAATACCAAGGCCCAATGAGATAGCTCTGTAATAGCTCTTTTATCTTTAATACAAAGTACCCAGTTATTGTTCAGACCATGCTTTCAACTTCAAACTAAGTTGGATTAGAAGCTTTATATTAATGGAAGCTTGATGCACATCTTTAAAAGTTCCTTATTTATGATACCAGATGAAATTACACCCATGAGGTCTTTTGATTTCGTTATAAATTTTGAAATTTAACTCTGGCATGTCTTTTTTTTTTGTATTGCTTGAGTTTTTTGTTGCTTAAGCTGTAGTTAGAAGTGTGTGTCTTGTATGAAAGCAAATAATGTTCAACTGTGGAACTTACAGCTACCTTACATAATTATTTTAAAATATAAATCATACCTGATTTCTAAATCCTAAAGCAATTAAACTATATTTTTCCTAGTTTTAAAAGATTTAAGATTGTTATTAAAGACTAACAAATAGAGTAATATTTTTATTCAAGATTTTAAGCACTTTTTGTCACATATCAGAGTAAATTTGGAATTATTTTAGCCATATGTTTGAACAGTAATTTAATTAGTAAAGGTTTATATACAGTAGAAATTGTGTGTGTAGCTAAACTAAAGGAGTTTGGTTTTTAACTGTACTTTACTTTTTCTAACCAATTCTTTCCTAAATGGGCAACTTAAATTTTTTTTTTTCATTAAGAACACATTATAGTGCTTTTAAAGCATTTTGATGCCTTTTTTTAATCTCAGAATTGTTTAAATGGCAACTTTTAGGCTTGAAAATCAGACAGCTTATATATTTACGGAAATAACAAAAAGAATTCTTCCAAGTTTTAGCATAAAACCCTCTTCAGGTAAAACAAAATACATACAGTACATAGAGATCCTTTTATTAGTCCATAGATTGATAGTGATTTAAGTTAAATCACTAGTATTCAGTGAATAGTACAAATTGAACAAATTATTAGGATAGAATTCAGAATCAGAGAGGAGTTCATGCTGAATATTTTTCAGTCTGTCTCTTAATTCACAAGACCTCTTATTCATCAACTAATGAGATTTAACATCTTTCCATTGTGGGTGTTGAAGCCATTGGCCAAATTAAATGAAAACAAGTCCTTTGTCGGATGCTCCCACAAAAATAAGGCCATACATAAATTGTAAAGGTTCAGAATGTAAGATGACGTCATTTAATGGAATGGGCCTTTTATTCTGAAATGGAGCTCTTCATAATAATCGAGATTTAGAGCATAGCAGGCCTAGAAGTTTTCTTTCCCCTGCTAGTCCCCCAAGAGAAGCAGCCTGTCAGCTGTATGCTAACGAGATGAACAATTAAACAAGGTCCTATCTGGCTGGCCCCACAGACTCTCAGCTCAGACAAAGAACTGTTTATACACCTGTTGCATGTGTGGACAGAGCCATTTGAATGCGTAGCTGCAGATTAAAGGGAGGACATGGGAGCCAGGATGAGCATTGGTTAAAGAAAACTGTAAGAACTGTGAAAGTCAAATTCTCCAGAAAATATATGAGGCCCATTTGTAAGGGGAATCAGGTTACAAACAAAAAGTTCCTGCTAACTTCATTAATATGAAAAACTCCAGACTTAAAGTTTTTGCTAGTCTGAGACCATTTTTTAAAGGTTCAGTTTTTTCAAGGTTGCTGTGAGAGAATATTTAGTTTGTAGTATTCCACAGAGACAAAGATATTCACTGGCATTTTATATCCCAAAACAAATTGAGTAACCTTTCTGATTTTCCTTCAGGGAAAAGCAAAATCCCTAAGGTTTATTGTTTAGATAATGATCCTTTGTCTGCCAAGCCTTTCATCAGAAAGGAGGTAATAGAACATTTTTATTAGTTGAGATTCAGAAAATCAAAGAATTATTTATACTAATAAAAAAAATAAGAATTTCACAGATGTATCGTCACTTACCACTCAGTGAAATTCAGTTTGTTCAGTGGTATTGTCTTCTGAAGCTCTAAAATAGGTTTCACAGATAAAATACATAGTAAATATACTTAGTTTAAATTTTAAAAGCCTATTTTTTAAAATACTTGGTATGATAGCTCAAAATACTATAGAAGAGCAAAATTAGCAGATATTACCAAAGATCATAGGAAGTTTTAAGTCCACATTATAAATACAAACATAGTCTTTTAGCTTTTGCTTTATCCTGCAATGATTTCCTCAGCCAGTCAAAAATTACTCTAGTAATACATTATCTTTAAAATAGGCTGAGGCTCCTAAGTTCCCAAAGAATTTTTAGCTATGTGTTGTATCTGTATCATGCCTATTTTTATAAAAAGGAATTCTGAACCAACGTTTCCCTCAAGTCATTCAAGAAAGCAACCTATGTGTTAAGAATAAACATGACTAGGATTCCCTCGATATAGGATATCATAAACTTTTTAAAAAATAATTTCCTCTCTTGAAAGTAATTTTCACAGTCTACTTCACTTGTTGTTAGGTTTAGTTCTTCAGATTTTTCTCAAGATTTTTTATTGGCGGTATGTTGAGGTTCAGTGTAGAAGTAAAGGTTAAGGGATAAGGGAAGATTTCCTAAATGGTAAGGGTATAGAAAGCTACTTTGTTTTCTGTGGTCCTTTCCCAGCTTTAAGATTTTATGATTCTAATGAGTGATGAATTTGTGTGGTTTAGAAAAAGGATATAGTCAATGCTTGATCATACAGGGGAGTAGTGACACACCTACTAATCTTCAAATAATTTTAAAAGTAGCTGTGGAATACATTAAATGGTTTTCGTTGTTATTGTTGTTGTTTAACTACATTAAAGGCAAGAATAAAGGCAGAGGACAGACATTTCTTCAAAAGTAAGGTGGAAGACCTGGTATGTTCTGATCAGATCCACTACCAGTAGACTGCATTGCCTGAAACTTTTGTTTCTTTTGTTTGGCTCACAGGAAACCAGAGGATAAACTTGCTTAGGGGTATTTATATTAGGGTAAAATCCATACAAAGTCATGAAAGATAAAAGCTTTATTAATTACTCAAGAGGGATTCAAAGCATGGTGTTTTACTGGGATTGAAGGATTTGTTGGAAAAAACAGTGGTTCTCATGTATAACTCCAGACAATAAATCTATTTAAGTAAAGGCTTAATCTTCTAGTTGACTCATCTGCTATTGTTCTAATAAAAAGCTTCATTTGTAACAGTTTTTCTAAAAATACTGCATTAGCTAAAATTGTATGCCATACCTTCTCAGTTTAAGTTAACTCTGACTTGTCTAAATCTGATTAAAACTGAGAATAAAAATAAATGGCAATTTTGGTTCCTGGAAATGTACAACTTACTAAATTATTTTAATTTTGTATTGCTTTTGCTGCTCTTTTAATTTTTTTTTAGAAGAAATACAAATTCATGGATACTTTAACATATTTAAGTAGTATGTAGAATAGGTTTTCAGATTAACTGATACAGAATAGAGCTTATAATATGCTGTGCTCTCTCAAAGAGTCAGGCATGACTGAGTGACTAAGCGTAGCACATAGCATATAGAGTGCTTTATCTCTGTTAGCTCATTTGCTTCTCATAGCAACCCTCTGTGGAATATAAACTTTGAAAGTTAAAATTTTTTAAAATATTTTTTTAAAAATATTTTTGCTCAGAAACAGTACTACTACTATCAAGTCTTTTACAGTTCAAAAACCAGAAAAACAGCATCCAAAAACAATTGCTAAATTTAGATAAATGATACTGTTTTCTCTCTTAAACCCAGTGAAAGAATTTGAACAGTTACTACCCCATGAACTTTTTTGTTTGTTTGCTTGCTTTAGGTTGGAACTCATCGAGAAGACTCTGTCAGTCTCAATGGCAATCATTCAGTCCTGTCTAGTACGGTCACTGCTTCAAGCACAGACTTGAACCATAAAACACAGGAAAATTATAGAGGTAACCGTATTGTTGGTTTTCAGCAGTAGTGCAGACAGAGGTATCATTTGGAGCTCTGTCGCCTTTTTCACAGTCAAATTGACATCTGTTAATCAAAAGTCATCTTAGGAGAATTCCAAACAATGGTACTACTGCATGAATGTGCAGGGTAGATATTTAGGGTTCAGTACTTTGATCGGTTTAGCTGATCCAATTATAGATGTTTATTGGTGGATGGAACCCTGTGCAAACTGTTGTTCAGTGTTTACTGGTCATCTTCTGAGCTTCTTTTCTTGTTTTTTTTCCCCCTTTTTTGGCTGCACTGCAAGGCGTGCGGGATCTTAGTTCTCCAACCAGGGATTGAACCCACACCCCCTGCAGTGGAGGCACAGAGTCTTAAACTCTGCACCAACAGGGAAGACCCTGTCCTGTCTCTTTTTAAATCAGTTCCCCTCGTGGCTGTCTTCATGGTCCCTAGAGGCAGTGAGAAAGATATTTCTGGGTATATTTAGAGTTCTGAATGATAGTAGATGTTGTTTAGAAGATTATAATTTAGTTGGAGAGACAGATAATTCTTGTAAAAAGCAAACTGCGGCCAGTGTTATAGTAGACCTTATAAATAAGTACAAACATATAGGTAATAAAAGACCATCAAAGTAAAGTTTTCCCAATTATATTTAACCATGATACCTGTTTTATTGTGTTTGTCCAGGAAAATGTTAAAGCTTATTTCCTTTACCTTGGCAGCATCTTACAAGTTGGTTTCTAAAATGCATAATGTTTCTCATACCTTGTTTAATTTTTAAATGGTACCTGAAAGTGAGCATTGGACTCACCATCAGGGTCAACCTTGTTTGTTTGTTTGTTTTAATACAGATGCTATAGAAAGCATTTTTTTCTAAAGTTTGTGGGCATGCTTTTTGCAACTGTCAGTAGCTTATTCTTTTACATCTTCAGATATCCATCATTGCTCTAAAACAACTAAGGATATTTGCCATCAAGTAAGCTTTTTACTGTGTTAATTCTAATTCACAGATGAGTCTGGATGTTTATTTTGTTCTTTGCCTCTTTGTTAGGTGGCTTGCAAAGTCAATCTGGAACTGTTGTTCCAACAGAAATCAAGACTGAAAATAAAGAGAAAGATGAAAACCTTCATGAACCTCCTTCATCAGATGACATGAAATCAGATGATGAATCCTCCCAAAAAGATATCAAAGTTTCATCTAGAGGCAGAACAAGGTATTTGTTACCATCCAGGTCATATTTCACTCACTTGCCACGGGTGAAAAGTGTCAGCTGTGTTCTAGATACTGTGTTGGGACTTTTATGTCTGTCATCTCATTTAATCCTCACAGCATCCCTAAACAGGAGACATGTGAAGCTTGATTCTAAGTTTGTTTTCCATGTTTCCAACAATATTTTAGGGTCTGCCTGTAAAAAAGAATTACTTTTCTCCCCTAAGTGCTTATAGTCTGTATGACCACTAGAGAACGAAATAGCTAAAACAAGTTAAATTGTACAAGTGTAGGTAGATGCAATCTGTCAATAATTATTTGAATATATTATTTACAGTATATTAAGTATATCATTAATATATAATAAATTATGTTATATATTGTTAAGTAAGTATATTATTTTAAGTTAAGACCTCGTCTATGATTTAAACCTGCAATTGGCAAACTATGGCCCCTGGGCCAAATCTAGTTTATTGCCTGTTTTTATAAATAAAGTTTTTTTAGAACACCGCCATGCACCATTTATTTACATATTGTCTGTGGCTGTTCTCATAGTGCAGTGGCAGATTTGAGTAGATCTGAGAGATGGCCCACAAAGTTGAAAATATTTACTGCCTGGCTCTTTATAAAAGAAATTTGTGAACTCATGTTTTAAACAATAATATGAAAAGAGTATGGAAAAGGAAGTACTCCACATGCAACTCCACAAGTTGTTGGGCAAGGAGTTCTAGAAACTGGACTTGACTGCTTTGAAATATGGATATTGACACATAATGAGATTAGTTTCAAATGATTTCTAAATTCTTCCATCAGGTTTTTCTTTTAGTTCCACATGAAAAGAGATAATTTATTTGTGATACATCCTCCTCCTAGTCTTTTTTTTTTTTCCTCTGGTGGCTCAGTGGTAAAGAATCCGCCTGCCAATGCAGGAGACACAGGTTCAGTTCCTGGGTCAGAAGATTCCCTGGAGGAGGAAATGGCTACCCACTCCAGTATTCTTGCCTGGGGAATCCCATGGACAGAAGAACCTAGTGGGCTGCAGTCTATGGGGTCACAAAAGAATCAGACACAGCTGAGCACTCCGTGGTACATTCTATTTCTTGGTATATATCTATTTATCAGTAATAGGTATATATCACATATATTTATATTTAAAACATTGTTCTTTGGGACTTCCCTCTTGGCTCAGTGCTTAAGAATCTGCCTTCCAGTACAGGCGATGTGGGTTTGATCTCTGGTTGGGAAACTAAGATCCCATATGCTGCAAAGCAGCTAAGCCCACATGCTGCAACTAAGGCCTGACACAGCCAAAGAAGTAAAAAAATTTAATTGTTCTTTGTGTTAAAGTATGGTACAAAGGAAATTTCAGTAAGTATGCTAGGTTAACTAAAAGAACCAGCATAGGCCTTCCCTAGTGGCTCAGCCATAAAGAATCCCCCTGTCAATGCCGGAAACACGGGTTTGATCCCTGATCTGGGAAGATCCCACATGCTGTGGAACAACTAAGCCCATGTGCCAAGAAAAGCCACTGCAATGAGAAGCCCGTGTACTGCAACTAGAGTAGCTTTTATTGCCACAGCTGTAGAAAAGCCTGCCCAGCAACAAAGACCCAGCACAGCCAAAAAAATTAAAAAATAAATTAAAAAACAAAAAACCAGCATGGTCCTTTCTGTCATTCATATGTTTAAAAGTTGTCCTTTTATATTTGACAGTCTCACTATTTTCAATACTTTAACGTGTCTCTTGGGGAAAATTAAATCTTACAACCTAATACTACCTATTTTTTAAAATAATTCTATCATTTTAATATGCGTTGTATTCAGTTGTGCAAAGGCATGAAGAAGACAAAACTAGATCAGGGAATCCCGAGGCCACTTCTTTGAGGCATCTTAATTCTTTCAGTTTCATGATTCAAATAGAACTTTAGGGGAATAATTTATACCTCTCCTCATGATTCATCCTTTCATCATACAGGTCAGCAAACTTCCTGTGTGAAGGGCCAGATAGTAAATATTTTAGTCTTTATGGGTCATGCAGTCTCTGTTGCAATTATTGAACATTACCATTGTTGCATGAAAGCAGCCAAATACATAACGGATGGGCATGGCTCTTCCAATAAAATTTTATTTACAAAAACAGGTAGCTGACTCTCGGGCCAGTTTGCTGAGCTCTGTTATAGGTCATCAGAAATTTGAGAATGCAGTATAATGGGTTAACAAGAACTATACTTGATAGTTAATAGTAAATTTAAAACATGGCTTTGGACAAAATAAGGCTAACCTGGATTTGAATCATGGCTTCACTACATTTTGTCAAATGACCATGGCAGGTTAGTAAAACTTCCTGAGGTTTGGTTCCATCTTAAAGGAAGTTTTCTATTTAGGATTCTTGTGGGAATAAACTGAAAATTATACATATAAAGCTCTTTTCATACTATCTCCCATGCTGTAAGCGTCACTAAAGGTACTAATTTATGATGATGATAATTTTATATACGTGTTCTTGGTTTTCTTTCATGAAGCACTACCTGGGTTCTTTTCTCCACTCTACAACTAATTAGCAGTCACTAGGGAGGTCACTGATGTTGCAGTGGTTCTCAACCCTGCACCGCCGACTTGTGTAACATTTTAGAAATGCAGGTGCATTTCTGACCCAAGCTCACTGCCCAAGCATCCCCAGCAGTGGGACTTTTGAAGACTGTAGAAGAACTAAAGATGCTGATGAGTGGCCACATTTGGAAACCTTTGGGCTAGATAATCTAGAAAGGTTCCTTTGAAGTCAACAAGCTAGTGATTCTCTATTATCAAAAGAATACTTTTACGTATTTCTTGACAGTTAGGAGTAAAAATCTGTTGTCTACTTGTTCTTTATTAAAGTACTCAAGGTATTAGAGAGGAGGTGGAACATCGATTCTTTGTGCACAGATTTTCCAGATTCTAAGTGAAACCAGTAATTCCTAAAATGTTTAATATAAATAGAATTTTCTAGAAGTTACTCCAGAGCATTTTTCTCAATATTTTTCCAACTAATTAGTCCATTTTCATTACAGAAATTTGAAACTTATAGAAAAGCACACCAAGAAAACACAAAAAAACACTCGAATTAACCGCTGTTTAATTTTCAAGGAATATCTTTTTTCCATAAATATAGTTTAAATTGAAAAGAAACTGGATATAAGTTTTATAATTTCAGCTTTTTAAATTTAATAATGTATTTTTAACCTTTTCATCTATCCATGAGTATTTTCTGCAACTTCTTTTTTTCTTTTTTTTTTTTTTTTGCTTTTAGGTAGCTTTATTGAGGTTTAATTCAAAATATAGTAAAATACATCAATTTTAAGTATACAATTTTTGTCCTTTGGTAATGTATATGGTTATATACATAAATATCATAGATATTAATATATATCTAGATATTAATAATGTAGAATATTTCTGCCAGCCCAGAAAGTTTCCTCATACCCATTTATAATCAGTCATCTTCTGTCATCCCCTGGCAGACATTGATCTGCTTTCCCTTACGTTAGGTCTTTTCTAGAAGCTCCTGTAAATGGAATCATACAGCACATGTAGTCTTTTGCTGCAAAATCTGCAGCTTGGTTTTTAGAGGCTGTATCGGTTCAGTTCAGTTCAGTCGCTCAGTCTTGTCTGACTCTTTGTGACCCCATGATCCGCAGCACGCCAGGCCCCCCTGTCCATCACCAACTCCCAGAGTTTACCAGAACTCATGTCCATTGAGTCAGTGATGCCATCTAACCATTTCATCCTCTGTCGTCCCCTTCTCCCCCTGCCCTCAATCCTTCCCAGCATCAGGGTCTTTTCAAATGAGTCATCTCTTCGCATCAGGTGGCCAAAATATTGGAGTTTCAGCTTCACCATCAGTCCTTCCAATGAACACCCAGGACTGATCTCCTTTAGGATGGACTAGCTGGATCTCCTTGCAGTCCAAGGGACTCTCAAGAGCCTTCTCCAACACCGCAGTTCAAAAGCGTCCATTCTTTGGCACTCAGCTTTCTTTACAGTCCAACTCTCATATCCATACATGACTACCGGAAAGATCATAGCTTTGACTCGAGGGACCTTTGTTGACAAAGTAATGTCTCTGCTTTTTAATATGATGTCCAGGTTGGTGATATCTTTCCGTCCAAGGAGTAAGCGCCTTTTAGTTTCATGGCTACAATCACCATCTGCAGTGATTTTGGAGCCCAAAAAATTAAAGTCAGCCACTGTTTCCACTGTTTCTCCATCTATTTGCCATGAAGTAATGGGACCGGATGCCATGATCTTAGTTTTCTGAATGTTGAGCTTTAAGCCAAGTTTTTCACTCTCCTCTTTCACTTTCATCAAGAGGCTTTTTAATTCGTCTTCACTTTCTGCCACAAGGGTGGTTTCATCTGCATATCTGAGGTTATTGATATTTCTCCCAGCAATCTTGATTCCAGCTTGTGCTTCTTCCAGCCCAGCGTTTCTCATGATGTACTCTGCATATAAGTTAAATAAGCAGGGTGACAGTATATAGCCTTGACGTACCCCTTTTCCTATTTGGAACCAGTCTGTTGTTCCATGTCCAGTTCTTTTTTTTTTTTTTCCATTTATTTTTATTAGTTGGAGGCTAATTACTTTACAATATTATAGTGGTTTTTGCCATACAGTGACATTAATCAGCCATGGATTTACATGTGTTCCCCATTCTGAACCCCTCTCCCACCTCCCTCCCCATCCCATCCCTCTGGGTCACCCCAGTGCACCAGCCCCAAGTACTTGTCTTATGCATCCAACCTGAACTGGCGATCTGTTTCACGCTTGATAGTATACATGTTTCAATGCTGTTCTCTCAGTTCATCCCACCCTCGCCTTCTCCCATAGAGTCCAAAAGTCTGTTCTATACATCTGTGTCTCTTTTTCTGTCTTGCATATAGGGTTATCACTACCATCTTTCTAAATTCCATATACATGTGTTAGTATACTGTATTGGTATTTATCTTTCTGGCTTACTTCACTCTGTATAATGGGCTCCAGTTTTATCCATCTCATTAGAATTGATTCAGATGTATTCTTTTTAATGGCTGGGTAATATTCCATTGTGTATATGTACCACAGCTTTCTTACCCATTCCTCTGCTAATGGGCATCTAGGTTGCTTCCATGTCCTAGCTGTTATAAACAGTGCTGTGATGAACATTGAGGTACATGTGTCTCTTTCAGATCTGGTTTCCTCCGTGTCCAGTTCTAACTGTTGCTTCCTGACATGCATACAGTTTTCTCAAGAGGCAGGTCGGGTGGTCTGGTGTTCCCACCTCTTTCAGAATTTTTTACAGTTTATTGTGATCCACACAGTCAAAGGCTTTGGCATAGTCAATAAAGCAGAAATAGACATTTTTCTGGAACTCTCTTGCTTTTTCGATGATCCAGCAGATGTTGGCAACTTGATCTCTGGTTCCTCTGCCTTTTCTAAAACCAGCTTGAACATCTGGAAGTTCACGGTTCACTTATGGCTAAAGCCTGGCTTGGAGAGTTTTGAGCATTACTCTGCTAGCGTGTGAGATGAGTGCAATTGTGCGATAGTCTGAGCATTCTTTGGTATTGCCTTTCTTTGGGATTGGAATGAAAACTGACCTTTTCCAGTCCTGTGGCCACTGCTGAGTTTTCCAAATTTGCTGACATATTGAGTGCAGCACTTTCACAGCATCATCTTTTAGGAGTTGAAATAGCTCAACTGGAATTCCATCACCTGCAGTAGCTTTGTTCATAGTGATGCTTCCTAAGGCCTACTTGACTTCACATTCCAGGATGTCTGGCTCTAGGTGAGTGATCACATCATCATGATTATATGGGTCATGAAGATCTTTTTTGTACAGTTCTTCTGTGTATTCTTACCACCTCTTCTTAATATCTTCTGCTTCTATTAGGCCCATACCTTTTCTGTCCTTTATTGAGTCCATCTTTGCATGAAATGCTCCCTTGGTATCTCTGATTTTCTTGAAGAGATCTCTAGTCTTTCCCATTCTGTTGTTTTCCTCTATTTCTTTGCATTGATCGATGAGGAAGGCTTTCTTATCTCTCCTTGCTATTCTTTGGAACTCTGCATTCAGATGGGTGTGTCTTTCCTTTTCTCCTTTGCTTTTTGCTTCCCTTCTTTTCACAGCTATTTGTAAGGCCTCCTCAGACAAGGCTTTGGATTTTTTTTTGCCAATTTGTCCTTCAAAAAAAAATGTTCCAGTTCAACCATGTTTTAAAATCATCACCACTGATGGTAATATTTCTTTCTGGAACAGAAAGTAGTAGTTTTCTGAGATACTTCTTTCATTCCGTATCTTAAGCTTTTCTTCCTCCTCCTCAGTGGACTGGGGAAAAGAATGTAAGAACATAAACTATAATACATGACTATAATAGGACAGTGTTTCTCAGACGTTAACATACATATGAATCTTGTTAAAATGAAGCTTCTGATTCAGTAGGTTTTCAGTAGAATCTGAGATGCTATATTTTTAACAGTAATGCAACACTGTTGTTACAGTATGTAAAAAGTAAAGTTTTTAAACAACAATACTGATGCTGCTAATCATATTTGGAAAAGCAGGGTGCTATAATATGTGGTCATTCAAATTATATTTATGAAGTGTTTCACTAATTTGAAGAAGTCTTTATGCAGTAATGTACAGTGAAAATACATTTAACTGTGTGTGGTATAATTTCAACTATATAGTTATATATTTACATCAAGGAAAGATTGAAAATTAATATACAATATTTAAATGTAGCTGTTACCGTTTGATAAAATGTATAGGTCATTTTAATTTTTATACTTTAATTGTGTGCAATTAGTGTATCTTACTTTATAGGGAACCTAATGGACATTGTTGTTACTCTCTTTTCCAGCAGTACTAATGAAGATGAGGATTTGAACCCAGAACAGAAGATAGAAAGGGAGAAAGAAAGGCGGATGGCTAACAATGCCAGAGAACGCTTGCGTGTACGAGATATTAATGAAGCATTCAAGGAGCTTGGTCGAATGTGTCAGCTTCATTTAAAGAGTGAAAAACCCCAAACAAAACTCCTTATTCTTCATCAGGCCGTGGCAGTCATCCTTAGTCTAGAACAGCAAGTCAGAGGTAAGTAGGTTCAACAGAGACATGTAACTGTTCTGCTTCTAGCGGGCAGACATTAGTGTGTCCACTCGCTCTTCGCTTGGGCAAGTTGTTTATGTGTTCTCCTAGTCCTCCTGCCACCGCATCATCTAGATCAGGTTTTCCCTGGTTCTCTCACCTATGTCTCACTATGTTGGTCAGTATCTGTAGCTTCAGTGCTTCCCACAAACCAGCAGAGAGCAACGCTATCAAACAGTGCAGTGAGCAGCCAACCTGCCACTTAGCATTAGTGTCTCGTGCCTCTTTGTTCTCATTGACTGGGATCCCACGCTCCTGAATTTACCTGTCTGCACATGTCCTTCTTCCTGCTCCTTCCTGTCTTCCCTACTTTTCTGTAGCCAGTTTCTTGCCTGCTTTCCCCTGGGGTATCTGTGAGGCCCTGCTGGATAATAGGATGTTTGGCCATGGCCTCTCTTTGCTTTGCCTCCTATGACTGTCCTTTGTATGCATGTCAGTAAGGTGTCAAGAGTTGCTTCATTGATCCCTCATCAGGAATGCCATGCACTTCTTGGATGAATGTGTACTGGCATGCCTGTGTGTCCCTGAGGACAAAAGTGTGCTTTACACAGACTTATCCACTGTTGACTCAGGCAACTCTCCCAACTGGTTGACTCAGACAACTCTCCCAACTGTTATTTTGATGGAATCTTTGGCGGGGGGTGGGGGGTGGGGTAGGGGGCACAGCACACGGCGTGCCTTTTAAGTTCTTAGTTCCCCAACCAGAAATTGAGCCCAGGCTATGACAGTGAAACTGTCCAGAACCCTAACCACTAACCCACCAGGGAACTCCTTAATGGGCTCTTAAAGAAACTTTGAAATTTTTTTTTTAACAAAGTGTTTATTGCGCATCTCCTCTGTCCCAGGCAGCTATGTTCTAGACCATCGGTTATCAATTAATACAAGCTTCCAGCCCTTGAGCAGTTCCATCATCAAGCTTGCTTTTTTTGCGTATACCTATATATCTTCTTATTCGAAGCTACGAATGCCTCATCCAAGGCTCCTTTGCAAAAAATTTATAGGTTTTGGCATTTGGTTCCAGACTCCATCGCTAGCCTCTCTCATTGAGAGCAACTTTTCTTCCTTATTTATTGGGTATTTATATGATACTTTATTTAAAGAAAGTTGGAAAAGAAAAAAGAGTAGGAATGGACAGATGCTTGATAACTACAACAGGAACCCTCAGCACTGATCATAGAAGGAATATTCTTTCTAAGGAAGCCAGAGTTAGAGAATTTGAACACATTTTCAGAAAGACATACACTAGTAATTAATTCATCTTTTTTTTTCCTCCAGTGTTTTTAATAAATAAGAAAGATCAATAAGTAACACACCTACCACTAAAACCAGATGCTTGCTCCTATTGTCTTAAGACTTTTGAAGTATCTGTAGAGTGTAGATGTTGGTGAAACCTGATTTTATGCAATCATTTGTAAGATCTGACCTTGTCTTGATTCCATGCAAGCCCCTACTGTAGAAAACCTTAGTCTCAAAGACTATCTAATATCTCGACTTATCCAGCTGCCTGCTAACTTCCTGGTCATTGTTACGGGTACTGACTTTTTCACACTATTCTGGAAAACTCTATATAAGGAGCCGTTGACCGATTAGAATGAATAAAACTTAAGTACACTGAACTGTAACTTCATTAGGGACTGCTTTAATATTTATAAAAGCGTATCTTCCTCCTACCCTTAAACTCTGGACTTCAAAACCCAGAGCCTTATTTTACAAGTTTATGTAAAAACCATGAGATCCATGTAAGGCTCCTTGGAAAATGCTCTTCTGACTGTCTCACAGTGTTTTGAACCCTTCACGTAGCCCAGAACCCCTGTCCCTGTCCCCAGGAGCACTTCAGAGTTTGGTGTAATTACTTCTTTCCCTGCACTGTATCTTCAGCAGTTCTGACTTCTTTTGGTAACATGTTCACTTTTGAAAGTCTCTTCATCGCTGCAGGAGCCCCACCCAGTGGCCCCTGGACCCAGCAATTTCTGTAAAAATGTACATGACCTACTTTGGACATCCTGTAGGCATTCTGAATACCTGCTTTGGTATGGGGTGGTGTTCCAAGACCACATCTAGCTATCTACATCCTGGCATCCTTAGACAAGTGGTAACACCAGGAGGGCAACCAGACCTGGGTCTAAGTGCATCCTTAAGAAAAGCCGGAAGTGGCTTCCAAGCCTCAGATTTTCCCAGAGCACTTTTTGTGCCTTGGTGCCCCATATATATCAGAATCCCATCTGGTCTGTCATTGGTAGTTTAAACCTCTTCATTATCATGACTATAATTTTATCATTACTGTTTTACTAATCCTCAGCAGATTTCACATATTACCTTCAAGTTTGTCCTCTCAGTTTTACTAAAGATTAAATTAGTGGTCAAACGCTTCCTCCTCAAACTGTTTCATAGGTCAGCTTGATAAACTCATTTCTCTTCTTGTGATAATCTAGGGACAGTAGAAGTATTAGGATTTTAGCTCCCCGGTCTCTTGGTGAATCTGAAGATGAATAAACTGGGACAGTGATTCTCAAATCTCGCTGGTCTCAGAATCACCTGAGGCTGTTCTTTTTCCCAGACAAATTTCCTACGTAGATTTAATTCAGTTGCAATGAGATGGTCAAACATAGTAATAAATGGTCAAAAATATTCATTGATAATATACCACTGAAATGAATAAAAATGGCATAAAGGATAAAGGGGATATAATAGTAGATGAGAGAGTGAAAAATATGTGTAAGATAGTAGATGGAGAAGTGGTAACTGACTGACTTAGAAGAAATTAAGTGGAGCAGAGAGGAATACCAACAAGAAGCCCATCCCCTGAAAGCCTCTGGAATTTGGAGGTACTAATTATTGGGAAAAAGCAGAAGTCAGGCATCAGACCCCAAAACAGAAAGATTCATTGGATCTTGCTGTGTAAGGCTGGATCCCTGAGTCTCCTCTGTACTACATATTACTTCTGCTCTCTCTTCCCTTCTACCATAGAAGTCAGGGGGATTATTTTCTATAAAAAGTGAAATCTGAAAGACTGCAAATCTGGAACATGAAGAACAGAATGGGTGAAGCATGAAGCTGAACAGTGGGACCCCTCGCCCTGTATTCTGCCTTGCTTCCCTAATGCTGGCAGCAGAGTATATTACTGCTGTCCTCAAGGAAATGGGCTAATTCTTTTCCAGAGAAAATAAAATACTCTAGAGAAAAGACTTCCAGGTTTAGGAATTCCTGAGTAATAATGCCTCACTTTTAGATTACCATAGAGTAAAGCCCACCAGTTGATGTCTTACTTTAATGTTAAAGGACAACCAAAAATTTAAGAAAAACCAGCGTGAAAAAGAGAAATTGAGATCAAACCAAACAAAAGAGAAACTCAGAAGAAAACAAAAACATGCAAAAGGCATTAGGAAACTTTTTTGAAAACTAAATATCTTCTAGAGAAAAGGTATGCATAAAAGAGAAGCCATGAAAAAGAAATATTCAGGTAATATGATAGCAGAAAAAATATAGTAGACAAATTAGCTGATAAAGTGGAAAAAAATCTCCTAGAAAGAGATGAAAGATAGAAGAGAAGAAATAGTAAAATTAGAGAGGATTAATCTAGAAGTCTAGCATCTCACGAATAGGATTTATAGTATAAGAGCAGAAAGAAATGAAGGGGATTATCATGGTAATAATACAGGAAATTTATAAGTACTGAAGATTACATGTCTCAAGATTCATAAAATCTAATCTTCTATTAAGAATAATGACTTTTAAAATTACCTCAAGCTAAAGTATATCATTATGAAATTTCAAGAGCATCAGAGTTAAAAAAGAATATCCTAAAGCTTTTAGAGACAACATTTAAATAGCTCACAGAAAAAGGAACAAGAGTCAAAATGTCATCAGAGTTCTGAAGTAGTGTTGGATTCCAGGAGACAGTGGAACAATACCTCCAAAATTCTGAGGAAAAATCATATTCAACCTAATATTCGGTACCTACCCAAACCATTTATTAAAATGTAAAGATAAATATATTTCAGATACACAAAGGCTTTAAAATTTTGCCTCCTTAAAAGTGCCTCTGCCACTTTCTAAGAGAGCATCTGGAACATATGCTTAAACCAAGTAAGGACATAATCAGCAAAGCCAAGGGCATAGCACCTGGGAAAGAAAGGATCTACCACATAGGAATAGCAGAAGAAAATCCTGTAACAAGAACTGCTAGGCCTAGAAAAGAACCAGTCCATACTGAAAATAGAAGACTGTCAGAAGAAAGCTTTCCCTGAAAATAAGATAGAATTAATAAATAATATGATGATGTGTTTGAGATTTTAGGAAAAAATGTTGAGAGGCATTTGTTAGATCTATTAGATCATTTTAAGGGGGAAAATAAGAATTATTAACAAATGAAAAGCAAAGCAACTATAAGTACAGGAAAAACAATCATATGAACAAGGAAACAATCAGTTTAAAATTATTGACTTATATGTATGTCCACATAGAAATAATGACACATATTTACCTAATCATGATATTATAAGAAGTAACTATTGAATTAGTCAAAAACTGTGCCATAAACACATTAAGAAGAAGATGGTATTATAAAAGAGGCAAATTCTCAATCATCTACCAGAGGGTAAGAGAGAGACACCTGATAGAAATGTGGGAATAACAGTCACTTCTCATGCCCCACAGGGGATGTCTGACTTCTGAAAATTCCATGGACAGAGGAGTCTGGCAGGTTACAGTCTATAGGGTCACAAAGAGTCTTCTTAGCTCTACATCAGGCCTTCTTGACTATATAATATGTTTGCCATGGGCTGCTCACACAGACCAGGAAGTATGAAGCAACAGCACTAGCTTTTGTTTTTTTGAATCAAAGCTCACTTTACTTCACATTTAGTAGATCTTGTGTGTGTAGTTACTCAGTCATGTCCGACCCTTTGCTCTGTCCATGGAATTTTCCAGGCAAGGATACTGGAGAGGGTTGCCATTTCCTTCTCCAGGGGATCTTCCTGACCCAGGGATCGAACCCAGGTCTCCTGCATTGCAGGCGGATGCTTTACTGTCTGAGCTACTAGTAGAGCTTACTGTAGCATATTCTCTTGGTTCTTCTAGTCCTAAGTGTTGGCTCACTCATTGTAGGAGTCTACAGTATCTTGTCTAACTTGAGTTTTTGGTTCCTGTCCTTTCAAGCTATCTTAATCATACCTCCCAGATCAAGTGTGACACAGAGTGATAGTTAGCTAAGAGTAATGTCCCATGGTAAGAGAAACGTGAGAATGTTTCGATTAGGAAATGTTCAGATCCTCTGTGGATTTTACATGTTAATTTGTGCCCTCTTTTCAGTCTCTCTGGTCATCGTATGAGACTCTTGCCTACAAAATAAAGGGTATGTGACACCTCATGAGAGACAAGCTTCTCATTAGTCAGAGGTGCACAATCACTTGTTAAGAAAGCAGTTCCTAGTATTTTTACATAATGATGGACATGCCAATTTCTACTATAAGTTATCCTGATAAATTAAGTAAAAGTATACCTTCCTTCTTTCATTGCCTCCCCAGAGTTGTATAGGCTTCATGTCTTTTCCTAAATGCAGGGGCCTAGATGATGAAGTGTTATCATGTATGAGTAACAGTTAATAGAGTCAGTAAGTTTACCATATAGTAAAGTCTTTTATCTACTTTTTTAAACTCAGAAGTGAACTATAAATGTATCTTGATACATGCACTTTGAGTATGTTTTCCCTTTCTCTGAAAGAGGAGATGCATTAAAAAAAAAAAAAAGCTCTGCTATGTTGCATTCAGCTAGGTCATCATTTTAAGAAAATCTAATATGTAAAAAAAATCAAATTATACAAAGTATTGTTTTCATTACAGACTAAGTGATCTTTTTATATTATATTTGTTAAGACATTTTAATCAGTTTATAAGAATAAATGCAGCAACTTTTATACTGTATGTTATAAACTGAAACAAAAAACTACACCAGGAGGCATCATGAGTTAAATATCTTTTTTTTTTTTAATAGGGTTATCGTTACCATCTTTCTAAATTCCATATATATGTGTTAGTGTACTATAATGGTCTTTTTTTTTAATATCTTGTACTTACAACTCACTTAAAGAAATTATCAAGGAACTATTGTTCCTAAATAGGTTTTCATCCAGTGGGTCTTTAGTTCAGTGGATTTTCTTTACTTTTATTTTATATGGTAATATCCCATACTTTAAGCGTCTTTGAAAATGCCCACATCAGAAGCTCCATTTGGTCTTCTCTGCTATCTAACTTATATACAAAGCAGTAAAAGTTTTTATAACCCTCTCAGTCACAACCCCAACCATAGAGAGAACATCTCAGTCATCCCCTCCTATGTATAAATCAAAGAAGAAAAACAGATATACTCAGGCTACCTCTCTTCCTGGAGGAATTGGCACACTTTCCTATAGAGGAATGGCTGAGGGTGTCTCTTAGTTTATCATTTTCTGAACTGGCAGAATTCTGGATAAAGCACAGATGCCCCTCTCCAGTACATAGAGAGTGTCAGCATTCATAGCAGTTCAGAGTATCACCTTTGCAGGACATTGAGGAGATTGAGTAGTCTAATAACAGCACTTGCTACGGTATTTGGATGGAACAGTAGAAGAATGGCTTTTAGATACTGATGTAGATCAAGTCAAATCCTGGAAAACCAAGCCATAAGAACACACAAAATGGTCAGTAAGAATTATAAGTTTCAAGGCTCATTTAACACTGAGGTGTTTTGTGAGCATATCATTGTTGCCTCTGCAGTGTTATTCATTATGGGAATGAAATTACAGAGAGATTGGTAATCCCCACAGAAAGAAAAATACAGTTTAAGACCCAGGAGTCCATGATTCATAACTTGTGACTCTAATGAGAAATTATTTTTCCTTATTTCAGAGAGGAACCTTAACCCCAAAGCAGCCTGCCTTAAGCGAAGGGAAGAAGAAAAAGTTTCTGCCGTATCGGCAGAGCCACCAGCCACACTGCCAGGAACCCACCCTGGGCTTAGTGAAACTACCAACCCTATGGGTCATATGTAAACAGCAGCCAGGTAAGTGTGTGTGTGAAAAAGTGCATGGCAGTCCCCCAGTTCATCTCAGAGTCGAGTTAGAACCTTTGAGTTCTAACCTTTATATTTTCTGGTGGCACTGGTCATGATAAACAATTTGGAATCCAACAGCTTATTTTTCTGCTATATAGTTAGAGAACCCATGCCATTTTGTACCAAATTACTGTTTTCTTCAAAATGTGATACTATGTGTGTGTGTGTGTTAGTGGCTCAGTCATGTCTAACTCTTTGCAACCCCATGGGCTGTAACCTGCCAGACTCCTCTGTCCATGGAATTCTCCAGACAAGAATACTGGAGTAGGTTGTCATTCCCTTCTCCAGGGGATCTTCCCAACCCAGGGATCACACTGGGGTCTCCTGCATTGCAGGCAGATTCCTTACCATCTGAGCCACCAGGGAAGTATACTTTGTTATAAAGCATTTGGGACTGTTATGTTCTAGATCATCATGTATACTCCCTCACATGAATATTATTCTGATCCAAGAAGAAAACAGTACTATGATTTACCTGTCAAATACTTTTGCTACCACTGGTGGCCCTCATTCCCCTACCCAGAAGTACTTGGTGGCATCATCAACCAGTTTTTTTGTTAGCCATCTGCCTCTGCTTTATCATGAGATCTTCATACATAAAACAGTGCTTTCTTCCACTTGAAATCATTAATGCAAGTCTGTAATACTCATATTCCTTCTTCTGTAAGAATATCAGTTACACCTTCTGGAATCTATTCAGGAATGTACAGGTGTTGTGTACGACAGAACCAGAGCATCCTTCTCTTGGGAATTTACTTGTTAAAAGACTGGTTTTTTTATCTTCCTCTTCATGAATTAAATGCAGTTTGCTTCTTTGTGGGTGTTTTTTTTTTTTTTTAACAAAGTGACAACAGTGGTAGCAGGTTGTTGTCCAAGTAGTTAGATAATGTGAACCATCTTTTTCTTAAACTATATACATTCATTTTATCTACAAGTTGTAAGGTTAATGTTTACTTTGACAGAAATTAATATAGAACATAATTAAATATTTGGATCAGTAGCAAAATACAGCTTGCAAGCATGGATTAGGTATAGAAATGGGAACTTCATTTTTATAACCTGCCTTCACCAATGTATAGTTATTTTCCTAGTTTAATCCACAGAGTAAAAGCAATATGTAAAAGTAAATGGATGTGAGATTTGGAGCAGGAAAAATATATTCAGTGCAATTTCATTTTATTAACTTTGTGGCTATCTCATTTTGAATTTCATTTCATTTGGAATTTGATAGAATATTTTGTAAACTACAAACGTTAGTTAATAACCCAACTTTACTTGAAGAAATTGATTTCTTACCACCTCTTCATATATCCTTCTTAGGATCAAACTAGACAGAAATGGATGATTTCATTTGGGAACAAAGAAGGGAAGTCTTGATGTAATTATTTAGGTGTCAACTATAATTGTAACATTAGCACCCTGGAAAAAGCTCTCAATCACCTTTCCCACCAAAAAAAAAAAAGAAAATCAGCAATATAACAGACTATGCTTGTCAAAGAGAAGAGCTAGTTGAATTACAGATCCTCTGAAACCCAAGCCATTGATTGCTTCATATTCTGTGGAGACTATAGAATATCATGAAAAATATTTTTATTCAAAAATATGTTTTAAGGTCTTTAAAATAACAAGCCAGTTACCTGTTACCAGGTAACCTGCCTCTTGTGAGAAGAGCACGTCACATTCAGCTGTCACATTGCCTGCCTCAGAGGCTTTGTCCTCTTCTTGTCTCTCTCTCATTTGCTGCACACATTTCCTCTTACTCTCTTCCTAGTCTCGCTCTAGCTTTTTCTCAGTCAGCTTTCCCTACCTCACATCTCTCTTCTCGCCTACTGTTTACTTCCTGTTCTTTCATTGCTTCTGTATCTCCTACTGCTTTCGTAGTTCTATTTTTATCTCTTTTATGTGGAAACTCCCCAACTTTAGGTTAAAAGTAAGTCTTGAGCATTGTCACCTGTCAAAAAGAATCCTTTTTTAAAAAGTATGAGGGAGGGGGGTGGGAGTTGTTCAAGGTTATAAGAAATGTAGTAAATGCATTTTGTTCCATAAGATTTCAAAGGCCTAGTGTTGATGAAATTAAAATACGTTTTAAAGTTAGCTAATTTCATGAAGTCAGTTACCTGGTTTCACCTGATAACCTTCAGTTCTTTATAGAACTGGGTAGCAGATTAAAACCAGTAAAAGATAATCAACTACTAGAATCAAAATAGTTGATAAAAATGGATGACCACAGAATGACTGGCTAAAAAGTGCAAGAATTTGCCACCACGTAATATAAGGCGAAGTAGCTTTGACTGTTGCGGTTATCCATCCCTAAGAGCATCACTCTAACATAAAACCATTCTGTGGTCCTTGTTTAATAAGAAAGGGAAAGGTATGATTCTTCCTAAAACTGTTTCCATCCAAAATGGCTGAAATGGGAAATTTCAGAGCTACTACTATGTATATTAAGAACACAAACATAAAATTTGTACTAATAGAGTAAAATTCTCTTAATAAATTTGTTGAACAAACATTTATTTGAGGACCTACTATGGACCAGGAACTGAAACCAATGTGAACATGAGTTCAAAGTGAAAGTTTTTTTATTCAAAACTTTTGTTTTCTGACGTCCCCACCCTCAGAAGCTTTCAGTTTAGAAGAAAGAGATGCAAACAATGAACACAGTACAGTGTACTAGATGTAGCAATAAATATATGTTTTAACGGTGTCTCCCCACTGAGAACTGGACGAGCAGAACCTCAGAGCTCAGGTATTGCCAACCTGCATGTTGTCAAAACTGAGGTTTGCATAATTACCACAGCTGTTATAGAATCCTGTATTTTGGGATTCTATACTTACATGAGCTCCTTTAGAAATCTTACCACATACATCAAGGAAAACCATTTTGGTTATACCTTTAAAGGAAGAACATTTATAAGTTATATAACTAACTGTGAATTTTTGGTCAACCTGGGCATAAATGAGGAATACTAAGTTGTTTTGTTTCTGGGAAAGTGTTTATTTTTACCAGTAATGTCCTAATTGGGTCTCTTCTCTCCCTTGGCTCTCCCTGCCAGTTCCAGAGTTATCAATAGGCTAGATAGAAGGTGACCTCTCCTCATAAGGACTTGGACAACTCAGATTATCTGAAGACACAAACCTGATAGGAGGGAGAAGAAAAAAAACACTTGAAGCAAGAAATGCAAATGTAATCCTACGATCAAAGCAACTGGTCAACACTTCCATCAGAAGTGAAGATAGGAAGCTCATCAGATAGAACGTCACCCCATGAGATGTTTGCAACAGATCATTTTGTTGCGAGCAGTGTGTCGCTTCTGCACAATCAGAGACTGTCTCGATCTCTCCACTCACCGTGGAAGTTGCCTTGTGCCTAAACTGAATTGACAAATGCATTGTAACTACAAATTTTATTTATTGTTATGGAACTGTAAGGTCTACATATAAAGGGAAAAAGTTAATGTGGAAAGCTGATCTCCACTCAGCTGATGCCAGCATTAGTTAAAGCTGTTCACGTGCAGAGAACAAAGCAGTGACAACCATTGGCCCTTAGCATTCCCGGCATACCTATTAGTGTCTTAAAAAGGAAGGGAAAAGTCTTTTGTTGCCCTCTCCTGTCCTTTTGCCATATGAATAGTGTTTTCCATGAAATAGGAAAATATTACTTGGTATAGCATTTCTCTCGTGTTCATTTTTTCATTCGTTTTTATTTTTTTGTTGTGGCTGTTGTATTTGGTCTCTGAATCTAAATAGATTATGGTCACAGTCCAGAGTCCTCCACGTAGCTCTATGTGCTTTGCATATTTACCTTACAAAACTAAGCAGAGACCATCTGTGACCATAGCCTAGCTAAGATTTTAAAAGGGGAAATTTTGTCCCCTAGATTTTCCCCAAAATAAATATTTGCTTTATTTCTAATAATAACCAAGACTTTTCAAGCTTCTAGGTTTTCATAGTAAAGCTTGTAATAGCAAGAAGTGTAAATTACAAGGGAAGAATTTACTTTTTAGAAATTGCTTTGTTTTCCAAGCAGTAAGTACTACATATAGTACTTGTAAAGTGTTAGCTGTAAGTAAGCACAAAATGGATTTAAAATACAAAGAAGATTTTTGAGGCTGTGATTATGTTGAACATAACAACCCAGTAGTCAATAAGGCAGGTAGTGTGATAAATGAACACACCACTCTGAGGCTAATTACCTAATGGAATATAAGAGCGATGGTCATGCGTGTGTCCTCCTTCTCACCCTTCTCTGTCATTTGGATGGCTGGTCAGTGGGGAGGAATTGGATGGGTGATGTAGTCAACTGCAAACCATCTGCCCCGTCCCAAGAAGATGAGCCAGATTAGCATCAAACCAGTCCTAGTCAGTCCATCTTATACTGTGCATTAAGGCACCCCTCTGTCTCTAATCCTTAAGAGTTGTTTTTTAAGGCATAATAATCACTTTGAACTTCCATGAAACCTGTCTTCCACCACAACAACCCTGGGAGAGAAAAACATGCTGAACAAGGTTGTCTTGGCTTAATAATTCCTCATAGCCAATATCGACAGTGGCAATCAGCACACAGAAGAAAGGACCCAAATCACTATGTAACTTAAAGATTTCTGTTAATTTGAAAGAACAAAAACAATTAAGACAGAACTTCAGATCCTCTGATCAGGATGGTTCCTAACAAATCACTCTTTTGTAAACGTAGTGGACATTTTGGTTACTTTAATTTGCCTGTATTCTCCGATTACATCAGACTCTATCTGTGGCCTTGTTCTTCATTTCAGTGTTAATCAGCTAAACAGAAGTTGTTGCTTATGATGTGTGAGTGAACATATGCCACTGCCTGGCCTTTTTCTTCAGAGCTTGTTGTCTTTTTCGCTATATTAGACTCTGCAGTATGCCCAGAAGCTTTCCTTCATAAAATAGAAAGAAAAAAACATTTGGCTT